CACAGAGGAATACCACATTGTGATGGTTGAATCAAGAGTCCTTTAATAATGACTGGTGGTTGAGGGGGCTAACCCCTTAAAGAACTCTTGATCCTGAGAGGAGGAAGAGTGGGGTTCAGAAGCTTAAAACCACAATTACATCATGCCAGGGGCAACGCCAATTGCCAGAGTTCTATCAGGCCAGTGGGCAGTCTCCAATTACAGACAGTTGTGAACTGCCATGTGGGTTCCAGGTCCTACATACATAAAACAAAACCAAACACAGAGCCAAACTAACAAAACCTCAAACCAAACAAACAGATACTGAGTACATTTAAGAGACATGTTTCTGGCTGGGTGTGGTGACGCACACCTTTAATCCCAGCACTCAGGAGGCAGAGGCAGGCGGATCTCTGTTTCCCAAACTGTATAGGACCCCAGAGTGTGCTTGTAATTACAATGAGCAAACCAAACGACTCTCCCCTGACACCCCCGTCTTCCCCTTGCTCTCCTCATTGTCCCTCCTGTCTTTCATCACAGAGCATGGTGGCCAAGCTGGGACCTGGGCCGTATTTGCAGCGGCCTGAAGTGGAAAGCTATTTGATTTAAAATGGTCCACTATTGATGGCTTCACCCCCACAGCACTAATTGGACTCAGTAGGTTATTATATTTAAAAAAAAAAAAAAAAAAGAGGACATAGGGCTGGAGAGTTGGCTCAAATCTTGCAGAGGACCTGGGTTTGGTTCCCAGAACCCACATGGCAGCTAATAATCGTCTCCAACTCTAGTTCCAGAGGATCTGACACCCTCTTCTGACCTTCCAGGGCACTGTATGGCACGAGTGCACTTAATACATGCAGGCAATATACTCATATACACTAAAAAATAATAAATAAACTATTAAAAAATAAATAGAGGGCATGAAGTAGGGAGGGAAACATGTTGGGGCAGAACAGAGGTTTCTCCAGGGTTACAAGGCACATGAAATAACCCTTTTAGGAGCCTGCCTGTTGAAGACTGACTTCTTGTATTTATAACTACACGTACCGTAGGAAAGCGAGCACAGGGTCTTAGTGAATAGCTTTTTTGAAATTGTCCTCACTGGTTTTCTTGTTTTTAATCATATATTGATTTCATTTCCCTATCAGGTCCCCAAAGCATCGACCCTTTCCACTCACATGCCAGTGGCAGGGAGCAGCGAGGCACCCGTGTTAATTTGCAGATTTGAACTGGGCAGAGGAAAATGGGTTTCGACCCCCAAAGCAAAACGGCAGACTTATGATTGGTGCAATCAAGGTGCTAAGAGCGAATTTCTTGAAGCCAGCAGTTTATTCTGTCCACATTCTGTGGAATGTTTAGGTGGGTGGACTGGCTGTGATACGGCCAGGGGGCCTTCAGTTTAAACTCATCTCTTGGTATGTCTCCCAGTTTTTGAAATCCTAATGGCTTTGAATGAGTTAAAGATGTATTTGCCTCAAAAGTGAGTTAAGTCACTGGCTTCTTTGGAAGTAACGAGAAATCATGGGCAGCCGGTAGAAGCAACTAAGAGGCTAAGAGGCCACTGAGAAGCTGGAGGCTGTGGGCTCCCTGTATGGTCTGGTCTTCAGGAGCGTGAAGACCGTGTTTGCCACGTATCTAAAGTAACAAAAGAAGCTTGGCATGGAAGATGGAAAAATTTAACGGGAAATATTCATGTCAGCATTTATGGAATCAAGTTTCAAAAGACAGCCTTGCAGAAAATGAATGGAATGTTTTCTTCTAAAAGACAGCCACGTTCTAAGTGGAAAAAACACGTTTTTCTTGTGATTTCAAAACTTCAAAACAGTTAACATTTGTGAGGCAGCCGGCTGTAACTTTCATGTAATTTGCAATCTAGCCTGGAATGCATCTCACGCTGAGTCCTTAGGGTTCTCACTGTTTAAGAATCATTGACTGTCTACAATTTGCTATGTTGTACAGGCATTTTGTCTTTGGATAATTTCCAACATTGAGGATACATATTGTGCAGACTTCTAGAATTATTATTTTGTGTACTTTTTTTCAAACTTGGTTTTGAGACTGCATTACTAGTAACTTGATAATGTGTTTGTAAAAGTGCCGAAATTTCCTCAGCAAATGAGTTGCCCCTTTCGTACCTCTTTGTGAAAGGTAAATGTCTCCAGACCTCAGCCCTAGGGGTAACTGTTTGAAAGGCAGTGACCCTCCACTGCATGTGATCCATCTCTCTGCAAGACTTGGGCCCCTGTCCCAGTGGTTTCAGATGACCACAGTTAGAAAGCTGGGTACACACAGTGACCCACCACAGGGACACACACTATTTGCTTTTATTAATATTTATTTGTGTGTGGGTATGTATGCCACATGCATGCAGGTGCCTCCAGAGGCCAGGAGTCAGACCCCCTGGAATTGGAGTTATAGGTGGTTGTCAGCTACCACCTGGGTGTTAGGAACCAAACTCTGGTTCTCTAGAAGAGCAGCGAGAGCTCTGAAGCACCAAGCCTCCTCCCAGTCCTGGGTTCTACATTTGCTTTTGAGCCTTCTTCTTAACATGTTTCATTTGTTGCTGTTACATCCATGTGTGCCATTATCACACCAGTTTGTGTGCTGACACAAAAATATACATGCGGGGTGTGGTGGAGTTTCAAGGAGTTGGAGATACAGTCATGCTCTTTTAAGAGTTCAGGTAGACTGGCTGAGAGGAGGAAGCTCTAAGTGGAGGCTGGGGCTTTCAGCACTCAAGCGCAGAAGCCTGAACACACCCTTTTCTCATGAGAGGATGCACAAGCAAACTCACAAGTGGGAGAGGTCATGCCACATCCTTCTGAGCAGTGGGTGCCATGAGGGGAATGAAATGGATGCAGGGGGCAGTGCTGGGAAGGGACTTGTGCAGATGAGTGGTCAGGTCTTTCCAAGAGGGTGATTAGCTCATGGTCAAAAGAGAGCTGGGGCAGGATGTCACCGTGGACAGCAGAATCTGGCCAGGGCCTAGGATAGAGATGAGCTTTGCTGTCGGAGCAGAACGTGGTCAGGGTCCAGCAAGAGGCAGGAGTGGCATCTAACATAGGAGCTGGACTCACTGACAGTCTGAGATGGGGCAAGTGGAGAGCTGGCTCAGAGCTCAGAAACTGGTGATGCGGGTGTTGCCACAGGAGATGGAGGTAAGGCCAGCTGGAGCACCTGGGTTAATGAGGGGTGCTGTACAACAGGCAGGAGGCTCAGTGAAAACTGACCAGGAAGAGGAAGGTGGGGTACAGTCTCCTTTCAAAAGGGTGTTTTCTTCAAGTAGAGTATATTCATTGTACAAATATGGGTTTCACAATGACATTTTCTAATGCGGGAATCACGTACTCTGCCCAGTCACCACTTCCCTCTGTTCCTCTGCCTTTTCGTAACATCACTAGCTTTTTCTCCCAGGGCTGTAATACTGTTATTACTAATTAGGGATCTGCTGTGGCGTGAATTCTCCCCAAGATCTTAAGTTGAAATCCTCACATCCACTATGAAGTAGGGCTTTGGGGAAATGAGGTCCTGTGGGTGGACCCTCGTGAATGGGATTAATGCCCTGGTCAGAGGCACCCAGGAGACTGCTAGGGGTCTCTTCCAATGTGAAAAAGTGCAGGACCAGGAAGTTGCCCTCATTGCCCAATCTGTAGGTACCTGACCTTGGATTTGTCTCTAGATGGTGAGAAGTGTCTGTTGTTTAAAACTTACTCAGCTCTGGGCTGAAATTGCTGCTAGAATTAGGGACATCTTAGGGGGCATGTAGTACAAGAGAGGTCCACATCCAAGTCTCAGAGAACTGCAGGTTTTGAGGGAGCCGTGCAAGAGGCACTGACAAAACAACAGCACTGGCTCTGGGATTCCCATAGCTGTGTACAAGAACAGCACTGGAAATCCTAGAACTGAGGTCATGGATATGGGCACTTGGCCACCTAGGCCGCTTCCTGTGTGTAAGGTTGGACAATGCTCCAGCTTCAATGTTTATAAAGGGGCCCTGGTCAGGATCTGAGTCCCTTTCCTTAGAAACGAACACTGTCCCGTTCTGTGCCATGGATACAGGGAACACAGCCTGGGTGTACTCAGTAGGTCCCCATCGTAGCTGATACCTAGCTTAGGAACCTGTGTTACAGCTGCCAGCAACGATGGTAATTTAGGAAGCCAGATGAGGGCATGGCACAGGTGTGCCACCACCATGGACTTTTAGTGTCTGCCGGTTCCTCACCCCAAGGGGTGGCTTCCCTACCTGAGGGCAGAACCAGGTTGCAGGACAGTGAAGGGCAAGTAGAGGTGGTGGGCAGCTTATTCCAGATGGCTGCCACGAAGACAAGAACTTGTGATTTCAAAAGTTTGTTTGTTTTTTTTTTTTTTTAATGATTTGGGCATGTTTAAACAAGCCAAAGACCCCAGAAGAAAAAGCCTTCATGATGTGAAAGAGGAAACGGAATGTTAACTGAGGGTAGGTATAGGACACCAGTGGAGCTGGCCTGAGCAGTGAGGGCCATCAGAGCAGGAGAGTGGGAGGACGAGGTTCACACATTTGCAAGCTGTGTTTCCCAGGACATAGGAAGCACATTAACTTTATGGGCGACATTAAGAGTTGGAGATTTGTGGCATGTGGCTGAGGGGTTTCAGACATTTGGGGTAGTCTTCCACTGTGGGGGAATGGGGGATGGTTGAGAAGGCCAGTTAGGAGGACAGGGGCCAGCAGGAGGTGCTCCCCACAGGAGGGGAACAAAGGAGTCAGTGGGTACAGGCTGGCCCCAGACAGGTGCCTCAGGAGGTTCAGCCAGTCACTGGTGCCTGGCAAATGGGGCCGGGGCGGGGGCAGGTGAGTGGAAGACGAGAATGAAGGGACGCTCACAGCTGGAGGGGTTCACCCATCTCCCAGATGCTGGCCATTCAGAAAGTGCTGTGGCTTCTGGTTGGTTCCTCCTTTTGGGGCTTAGGAAGTCAAATCCCAGGTGCCCTTAGAACCCCAGGTGCAGGCAAGAGGGAAGAAGGAGCCACACACAGGCCAGAGGTGGTGTTTCTCTCTTTTATTTAAAAACAGTGCTTCATTACCATTCGCAAAGGCTGAGGCAGTACCCCTCCTTTGCTTAGAGTTTATAAAAGCCAGCAACATGATCAATAATTTATACACATGGAGAGTAATACAAAAAAATAAGGAATAAAAGCTAAAGATCTAACTACTTCCAACCTTCACAATTCCAGCTACTTGATAATAATAGTACTGAGTAACCCAATGAATACTGTATGGTCTGAAAGCTACTATACAATATGATTCTTAACAAGGAGGGAGGGAGTTAGAGACTGTCACAAAGCCCTGGGTGCTTCTCTGGAGTTAGCAGGGAAACAGGACCCTGGGCAAGCAGCTCGGGTGTCCTAGTGGGTGATTCTGGGGGAGGATGGGAAGATAGGAGACAAGGCTAGGTGGCCAATTGTACAAGCATCCATGGATGTCCCCTCCCCGCAACCCCAAAGGTACCTGTCCTGCCATGGCAACATGAGGGGCCAGGGGAAGCTACATGGTTGCTGCCTGGCCAGTCACTCCCTGCCATAGGGGTGGGAGGAGAGAAGAGAGGTTCTAGGGCACTTCAAGCCTTGCAAAGATCTAGGCTGGAAAGCCTAGAGCCTCAGTTCTCTGCAGCCCTAGCTTATGTGTCAGCCCCAGGTAGCTCCAACTATTCACAAGCAGAATGGTAACACAGTAGGGAAAAGAAAACCATGTCCCTTCAGGGGGGTGGGGGGGAGAGCTATTCATCACTCAATATAGAATACAGCCACAATGAGCTGCCCAACAAGCACATGTGCACAAAAAAAATACCGTGAACAGAAAATAAGAAAAACAGCTAAGCCGGGAATCCTGATGGGGCAGACGTTGCTTAAAGCATGGGGCAGCCCCAGAAAAACCAAACCAAAAGCATTAAAAAAAAAAAAAAAAAAAAAACTTCAAAAACTCACGTGCCCCTGGGAATCCAGTATTGGTAATCAGTGGGGGTTGGGGAAATAAAAGAGAGTTGCTGTTCCCTTTCTGCCTGCCAGGGTGAGCGGAGCCCTCACTGCTGGCATGTATATAACTACCAGACAGGACCACGCCCCTCGGCAGGTGGTCTCTGTCAAGGCAAGGTTGAGTTTTTGGCTGATGAGCGGTTCTCTCAGTTACCAATCCCTGCCAACCAGCACTACCATGGCTGAAGTGATCTACCGTTTTCCTGAGTACACTGTAACTGGCTACAGTTTCGGTAACGTGCATAAGAACTTGGCTACTACAGCCAACTGCAATACTTCAGGGATCCCCTCTGTCCCTTGGCTCACTCCCAGTGCCTCTCGCTGAAGTATATGGCAACCTGTGGTAGGCAGTGAGCCTTTTCAAAGAAAAGCTGCCAAGGGACTGTCCTGCACGCAGTAACCGAGAGGGCATGTGGCTGGCTTAGGACACCCAGAGCCTGCTTGGAAAGGGCCCTGTTTCCTGCTCTAGCTCGGGATGGCGATCACCTGGCTAACGAGGGGAGCAAGGATGAAGAAGTTCACAGGAGAAGGAAGGGCGAAGAGGCTTTTGGACAGTAACATTTCCAAAAATATAGTGTTTTTATGCAACAGAGAATCAAGTGTCACTGGTGTATACTACAAATGGTCAGACATTCTCAAGAGCATGACAACACACACGTTTACATGGATGTTCACCTTGCCCACTATGTTTTCCTATCTTAAAACAGTGCAAACAGGTAACTTATGCTTTTAAAACACCACGACCCCTTCCCCACCCCCCAAAGTCCCTTTCCTCCTTATACCTGGGGGAAAATCTGCTCAATTCTGCAAACATTGCCGTGCTAGAGAGTTACAAGTTAGTGGAGAGCCAGCTGGGCTGAGCCAAAGGGGAAGGGTCCCTGCCTTCCTGAAAAATCTGTTTTCTAGACCACCCCTTGGTTGGCCTTGTAGGCTGGCACAGGGAGGGGTGTACCATGCTCTTCCTGCACATCTTGGGGGGCTGTTCCAGCATCTTAAAGTCCTCTGTGCCTGTAAGCTACACGACTAGTTACAGGACAGCGCTGGTCACGATCCATGGGCTGCGTCTCTAGGAAAGCTGGCAAACTAACAGCAGTGTAGCCCCTGAGCATCCACATCGAGGAAAAGCTGCTAGCATGGACTTCTACTGACTACACAGCCACCAACTGCCCCTATATTAGGATCCGAGCTCCAGTCTGCCTCTTTTCCAAGGAAAGAAATTGCATTGGCTCAATTCAGACTGTGGCTACTGCAGGACGGTGGTGAGAGGAGGTTCTGGGAAACCTGAGAGCCTTAAAAATGATGAATAACGGTGGATCTGGGCTAACTGGAGTTGAACTAAGTAACACAGAAGTTCTAGAAAAGATCTAAGGCAGCTCTCTGGACTGAAAGAGGGATAGCCAGATAAAGATTTCTCACTAGCAGTCTCCTTAAAGGAGCCCAGCTTCTAAGAGCAAGACAGCATAGGAAGCCCAGGCTCTGAGCGCCTGCAAAGCAGAAGAGGTCCTTCTCACACTGGTTCAGCACTGGTGAGCTGTTTGGAATCATCACCCAGCCTCCTCAGTCAAAGGCCCATCTCCTTTGGCCTGCTTCTGAATGCAGCCACATATGCCAGAACTGCGGCCTGGAGGACTCTGCCTCTGTTGGCATGGACTGCAGGAAACCTCTGGGCTCCAAGGCTCATATTGTGAAATCCAGACACTTGGGGGAGCCCCAACTCTCAGCGCCCACCTTGAAAACCAAAGACCCTTGTAAAAAAGGCTGAACACCATCAAATCTTTCTTGGAAAAGGGAGCTGAGGAAGTGGCACGGGAGTCCCTATGCATGCAGCAGAGAGGCGCTGGAAAACAGAGCTTGGGGGCCTCAGCCAGAACCCGCTGAACTGAAGTGCACGAAGACCCCTCCAGCCTGGCGCCCGCCTCCTTTGGAGGTCATGAGAGCCGCCTTCTTCACCCTGCCGGGGCCATCCTATTCCTGTCTAGGAAAAAAGACGAGAAAGTATCTTCATCTCTTTCTCCCCTGCTATGGATACAACCGTTAAGGAAACAGCCCTAGTCTCGACGGATAAAGAGGCTTGCCTTTTTGTGAGAATGGCCCTTATTAATTTAAACACGACCCATATTTTCTGTTTCTTTAGTCAGTAAAAATTCTCTCAAACAAAAAACAAAGAAAAATTCTCCCTGCCCCACTCTAGACCTCTGAAAGGCCCCAGCCAATCCCTTCCCATAACTAAAATGTTTATGTACATACAATGAAAATTGTCTTAACAGCACAAACCAGACTTTGGCTTGGGGGGAAGGGACTCCATAATAGCCAGTGATGGGCAGTCTTGGTCCCCATCCTGCATCTGCCCCAGAATCAATGACTATATCGACGCCTCTGGCTTCCATTCTGTCTCCCCAGGTATTGGAAGAGAGGGCAGGCCAGGGCCCTCCTAGACACACCATTCTGCTTACAAAGAATGCTTGATGCAGTCAAATGTCAGCCACTTTAATTCAGGGACATGAATCAATTATCAGTCAAAAACATGTGGAGGCAGAAGCAAACAAAATAAAACAGAATAGAACACAACAAAACCCAAAACCAACCTAAACCAAACCCCTAACAAAGCTGAAGCTCATGTCTCTGAACTGCTCCCTTTAGCAGCGATCCCTTGGGTGAAGGTCACCCTAGTACCAATGTGAACTGACAGGGAGCCAGCTGACCCGGCCTGTTTCCCAATGCCTTCATTTTGGAACCGCTGTTGGACACTTGCCTTACTCAGATCTGGGGAAGTTCTTTCTTCCCTACCTTAGAAATGTTAACACCGAGGCCAGATTCATTGCCATGGCCCCTGCAGGAGGACCCTTGCCATTTCACACCCTCCTTCAAGGCAGGCTTGGATTCCGTGGCCTGTGGTGTTAATGCTCACCAAGGGGTCCAGGTGCTCGGCTGGCATCTTTGGAGGATAGTGCAAAGCTGGGTGCAATGGCCGTGAGGACTGGAGACTGTGGACAGAATGACTCATAGAGGCTCTGGAAGATAAAAATTCCTATGGCTTTGGAGAGAGAGTACAAAGTGCCTCTGCCTGTCCCGATATGTCTGCATCACCACAAGTTCCAGGACAGCAGACCTAGGGGGCTTGGTGCCTAATCTTATCCCAGGAGAGGCTTTCTGATGCTTCTTATACTGTGTACTGACTTTATGCTTCAAGAAAAAGGAGATCAGACCATATATCCCTTTTCTCTTCTACGTGCTCTTTAATGGCTCTAGAAAATTTGTACTTTTAATCTTCAAGCTGTGCCCAGATTATTTTAGGGGAAATCTGGCCACTAACTATTCATTCTTCTGTCCCTGGGTCCTAAATTCCTGAATCTTGAGGACATGGGAGTATCATGTTAAGAATCGATGAGCTATACAGTGGCTCAATTAAAGGGAGGAAGCCCAGCAGGAATGCTGAGATTTCAGGAAAAGAAACAAGTGTTTCCACACTCCAGAGTTCATTCGAAGATCCGTTTCCTAATGAGGTGTTCACTATCCACAGTCTGACAGCATGCTTGGAAATATCCATACTGCAATTCCCCAAACCATGCCAACTGTTCAGGCTGTGTGTAAGGTGATTGTAAAGAGGGGGAAGACAGGAGGGAAGAGGAGGAAAGTGTCTTTGTAATTCTCCTGCTTTGTAAGCAAAAGTTCCCCCTAGCAGCATGTGGAACCCAGCCTCAGCCAGTAAGAACCACCTGCCAAAGATCAGAAATTCAGAAGACTAGAACACACTGTGGCAGAGGCCCTGCCCACTCTGCTTGTCACCAGCCACTCAGCACCAGACACACTTTGGTAATTCTGTCTGCTGATTTCTGATCAAACACATTTATCTGCTCCTTCCTCCTGGACTGCCTCTTCCGTGACCGACAGAACAAGCTAAGCATGGACATTTAGACATGGAAATGCATTATTTTTTTTTTTTTAACCACAGTTTAAAAAAAAAAAAAAAAAAAAAAACCAAAAAAAAAGAAAAAAAAGAAAAAAATGCACAATCTTTGGAACAAAAGAATTAAAGGCAGAAATTTAAAGAAAAAAAATACATATTCAAAGAACATAGTGAGGTATAAAAAAGTATTCTCTCTTTTTTTGTTTTTTGTTTGTTTGTTTCCTCTTCATCTTGCTATAGAGTTCCTCTACTAGTACATATTGCAATAGCCGGGCCTCATGGACTGGGGCTGTCCCATTTGCAGGGGTCTCACGTCACTTCAGTAGGGGGCAAATCGGCTGTAGCCACCTCGGTATAGACTCGCCTGCAGTAGAAATAAACAGAATGAGAGAATGGAGCACACGTCCCGAAGAAGGGGGTTCTGGGAAAGATGTCTCCTGGGGCAGGGTGCTGGGGACACCACTGACCTCTCAGGCGCCCCACTCAGAGCCCCATGCACCTCCTGCAGGGCTGACAGCCCTAAACAGCACATGACAGCTTACTTCATACTCTTACGTGATTGATGAAGGAGAAAGACTTAATATGGTTTAAAACTAGGTCTAGAAAGAGTTTTCCCAAGTGTGGCTTTGTGTTGTCAGGTTGCTACAGTGCTGACTGAAGCTCGAAGGTCACTCTCCTCCCACGCAGGACCTATCAGGTGGCATGACTTTTGACCTCTCTCTCTGAAAAGATGGTTGGTCACATCCTGCATTTGAGATGATGCTATGTTGAAACCTAAGTCAATCTCTGAATCAGTGAAACAGATTTCCTGTACAATCTGTAAAATACAGTTGCCCTTCAGTATCCATGGGGGACTGATTCTTGACTGTGCCATGGAAATGTACCTGCTACTGGAACCTGCTTCTTTAGTCCTCCCCTACATGATTTCATTTCCTGCTGCCCCTCTAGGCTACATGGCTGAAACTGGTGCACACACGTAACAAGAGTGACAAAAAGTCCCCTAGAGACCTACGCAGCTCCACCCTTGAGCAATGGATGTGAACGTATTGCTTCCCTAGCTCTCTCAAAGTCTATGGGTAAAAGTTAGGAACAAAATGGCTTTAAAGAAGGTACACACTTACCACAGCGCCAACTCCATAGCTGGCGGCAGGGGCCAGGGCATGGTAGGGGTCAGCTGTGTACACCCTGCCGTAACTGGAAAAGAGAAGCACACAGTCAGAGGGAAGGCAAGACTGTCTAAGAAACCGTAGGGGTGACGGTACTGCAGACCTGTGAGCTACCTGGTCTTGGGCTATTAGGAAAATTGGCAGAATAGACAAAAGACTTTCCTAGTGGGTGTGGTAGCTCATGCCTTCAATCCCAGCACTTGGGAGGCGGAGGCAGAGACAGGTGGATGTGTGTGTGTTCAAGGCCAGCCTGGTCTACATAGTTGAGTTCCAGGACAGCTGGGGCTAAATAGTGAGACACTCTCTTAAAAAACCCAGAACAAAACACAACCTAAACGTTCTGTTTCTACTTCTGAATTGCAGTAACTGAAAAAAATCTTTAAAAAGTGTTTTTATAAAATGGCAAAGAAGGAACTTGGATAAGGAAGAGGGAGACTATGGTCACAACTCGAGACAGAATAAAAGAGTGAGTGCAAGGCTGGGCTCCAAGGCCATGAAGAGCAGGCTGTAGGAAAGCCAGGCTTGCAGGAGGCCCAGGGATCAAGTGCTGTTCTGGAAATGGTGGAAGAGGAAAGGGGGGTGATACGACAGATGGCATGGTGCTCAGAGCATCTGGGGGCCTGCCCGCTCTGTGCTCTGGCCTCTGTACATACCCGTCGCTGTAAGCGGCTGCAGCGGCTGCAGCAGCTGTGGCTGCGGTTGCAGTAGCAGGCTGTGCATATCTGTAGGCTGCATATCCACCCTACAGGAGAGAAGAGAACTGACTTTACAGCTACCTCTCCCCGGGACAGACACATGTACCCACCCCCATACAGACGCACACATGTAGACACGGGGACAGACATAAACACAGACACACATGGGAAGAAATGTTTCAAACTGCACCAGTCTACATGTTATTCTTTTATTAGGAAATCAAGCGTCATCTAATGTAGGAATTTACTTTCCAATTTGTGACAGTAAGAAAAATAAATTACTTAGGTCCTACCTATTAATTTTACGAAATAAAGATGTAAGTTTGGATCTTCACAGTGTTTGCTGGAATTCTAACAAGGAAAATATTCACAGAACACTGGGAGAACTCTGACATGAAATGTGCATTACAGAGTTCAAGAGTTAAAATATGTTACATCCATAGGTCTCAACTTCAGATTCTCTGATGTGTACTTAGACTGGTCACTAAGAAACTGCAGCAGATCACAGGAAGTCTGATCTAGAGCTCAGCTCCACCTGTCCTAGCACGGCTGTCAAGAGGCTGAAACAGTTAACACTATGAAGGAAAGGACCAAGGCAGTCCTGGGGTCAGGAGACTGGCCTGTGAACTAATGCACCTTGACACCTGCTCTTCAAAGTGGTGGTGACAGAAACTGTGGCTTAAAAAGCTCAAATCACTCACTCCTGGCTGTTTCTAAAATTCACCTACTTATTTTATCTCGATCTAATTCGGATACAAATTTTCACCATTGTCCTTTGGCTTTCAAAAGCAGCTGTTCAACTGCTCCACCTGGACACATGTGGTTGCAAACTATGACACAGCCATTGGCTTCTGCGGACACTCTGTGTCTCATGAGCAGCTGAGGTTCTCTACTTTCTCTTTCTTCAAATGCTCAATGTTAATTAAATCTACAATACAAAATTACTACAAAATTCACATTTACTTTTGTTTAGGGTTGAAAAGCATTTTCTAACGGGACCCTGCTCCTCTCAGCCACCCAATGTAACAGCTTCTGGAGTGCTTCTTTGACTTCTGGGAAACACCTGTGACTTTAAGGACTTCCCACACTTTCTGCTTCTTACATAAGCTTTCTCTAGGGAGGCATCTGCACAGTGAGGGAGTCCACTCCAGGTCCACGGTCTATGTTGAGAAGCCATCAGCAGCAGCTTCGAATACACACTTTAAACCCCACTGGCCTTTAGCAGCTGAGCTTTCTTCCCTCTTGGTGGTAAGCCTTTAGTTTTCAGTGACAGATCTTTTATAGACCCGTAAGGGAAGATCCTGATCACCATCACCAAACACTAGCAATGAAGGGTGGCAGGTAGGACTGTGCCAGGAAGCACCCTGAGCGCTAGCCAAGTCTACTGGGGAAGCAGGCTGGACCATGCTGGGCAAGGCTGCTCAAACACACAGTTCACTAAGGTCTCTACGTCAGTCCTTAAACTTTTAATGAGGAAATGAGCAGCAAAAGCATTTGTTAGACAAAGGAAAAGTTAATCATTATAGTTCAAATTTCATCTGGGCCATGAAGGCTCAGTTTTTTACTCTATATAGACATGGTTCCACTAATTTAGACCTGACATCTACAGTCCAGCTATTTTTAGTGAAACTTCCAAAGGTAATTTAGCACTATGTGGTTTGTCTCTTTAGCATTCCTTCAAACACCGAAATAATCTTAAAAATTAGAACCTTTAATCCCAGCACCTGAGAGGCAGAGGCAGGCAGATCTCTGTGAGTTCAAGGTCAGCCTGGTTTGTACTGGTCTATATAGCAAGTTCCAAGTCAGCTAGTGTTACAGGGAGACCCTGTCTCAAAAAAGACCAGAAAAAAAAAAAATAAATAAAAGCAAGCTAAAATAATGAAAGCAATAAAAAAGCTGATTCATGCTTAGCCATGTAAAGTAGTATAAACTGGGGAAACTTTCACCGGGGTCTCATAGAGGCCCAACCACTGGGAGCTTGAGGGGTACAGGAGCTAGTCTGTATATTCTCTCCAATCACAGCTTTGAGTTGTAGCTACTAACTGGGAAGAAAGTCTCTCAAGCAAGGCCACAGACAGCAATGGTTCCCTCACTTTCTTTGGCTTGCAGGAAGCCAGAAGGACCTCAGGGACTTAGAACCAATGTCCCAAGCCATGCAGAATGACCAGGCTGTGGGAACGAAGCCTTCCTTCTTACCCAGAAGGAAAAAAGGGGACAGGGAATCTTTCAACAGATCTACTCTCTTAAAGACGTTCTGATAATGACATTAGAGAGAAGTCATTTAAAGGATGGCTAATGCTAAAGGATGGCTAACACTTTATGGAGGATGCAAGGGTAATATCCTAGTAAAGGAATCTGGTAATTAATCAATGACTAAGAAAAATTAAATTGTATATCATTAAATTATCCCTTTTAGATACATATTTTTACTCCAAAGTATTTCTGGCTATTGCTGCAGTTGGGTATTCAACAGAATGAATCACAAAATGCTACGACAAAATTCAGTTATTTGTATTTGTTTATATTCTAAGATTTCGGAATATGAAGATTCCACAGCGAGGAACTGTTTTCTCAGCTTTTACTTAAACCAGCAAATTTGAACGCTCTTACAGAACACGAGAACAAAGTGCAGTTTGAAACACCAAGGTTTTCATTACTATTTCTTAAATTTTTCAAAAAGAATAAGGTGGGAGGGAGGAGGAGAAAGAGGGCTCAGGCGTGGGGTGGGGGATGGCGCCACGTTAATATTAATCACATTGAAACTAAGCATGCCGACACCTGGAGCTAAAACAACAGCAAAACCACCACGTCCAGACTGGCACTGGCTAACTCTATCTATCCCAGCATTCTCTTGGGACAGCGGTTTGCCCTAGGCTCTACCACAAGCTCGGTGAAGTACACAGCCTCAATTACTAGAGCGTGCAGCCACAACGACCTGGTATTACGGAAACAGTCAGTCACCACTTGAGTTAACATTCCATACCCTAATGACTGGCCCCTCCCCAGCCCAAAGAAGGAGTAAATCTTGCCCACCCGAGCCCTGGCCCATACCACAATGTTAATAATTATAACAAGCAGTAACCCATCTGTTATATCAGAGAAGGGAACAGAGACTCCACTGAGAGATTTAGAGTGAGATGTTAACATTTCTTCAGCTGACTGCACAAACAAACAAACAAAAAAAGAGGAGAAATAATTCATTTGGAGATATGAAGTCATGAATAGCTGATGTGTATTGCTTTTAACCATGCACTGATGCAAAACTGAAGCAACCATTAATAAAAATTAAAAAGGACATATGTATTTACACACAATCAGACCTGTTTGATCTGAAGCAGTTTGCAGATTCTATCTGTGTGTGATTTGAAATAAAACAAAAAATGGGGATTAGCATGGCCACAGCACACCCTAACGTAGGAGGGCACACAGACAGCTTTCTGGAACTCTTGAGGGCTGCCTAGGTTTGGCATGGCTAAACTAAGCTGGTTCAAATACACAAACGCCCCTTGAAAAACAGTTACTTTTCTACTTTTCTTTGTAACTCGTTCTAAATAGTCTTAGTGCTCCCACTCTGGTGGCCCAATGCTCTACCACTCTGCTATTTCATCTGCCTGGCCCTGGCAACAGAACTCAGCCTGACCCACAAGGCGCATCTGGATGCTTGCTCTCCGGCAGCAGCTGCACACGCTCCCTAGTTCTTCCAAGTTCTTCCTGCATTTGCGAAGCTTGTTTTCTCACCTATCTTGCCATACCTCTGCCTTCCACTTCCAGCTTCTCAAAGCTAGATGTTTGCTGCTTTAGAACTTCTCCTCAGAGACTTCGGAAGCTCTGAAAGGAAAGCCACAGTTTCCCAAAGTTGTGTCTTTGAGGTTCTCTACTCTAACCTGAATCAATTTTATCATCTTATTAACTCTACAGCACTGTCACACTGAGCACAGGATTCTGTACTGTTTTGCAGCTCTTTTAAACTGGACAAAATGCAAGTTCTAATCATTCTCCGTATCTGCCCTCTGTCTGCCTATCTACTGCTTTAATCTCACACTGGCAGACTTCCATCTTGTCTTGATTTTAACTTTGCCTTTAATTTTTATTATACTTTTGCTTTAGGATTACATTAAAACAGGACTTTGGTGAGCATGTGATGTCAAGACACCTTCGTTCTACCTGAAAGACAATGACATTATGTGACACTGAAGAGGAGAGTGTATATTTCAATACCAGCAGACAAAATGAAAGCTTGTTATCTCCATGTAGTGTACAGATGAACAGAGCAAGGTGAGAGTGTGTGTGCATGGTGTGTGTGTACACTGGGAACTGGTAGGTGCGATGGTCAACACTGCTATGGAAGGGCAGAGATCTATTCCAATTAGCAAGGGTTCAATTCCTGGCCTCTAGAACCACTGGATTCAGCCCCAGATGATCCTCCCTCCCTCTCATCCCCACTCCAGTTCTCATGAGGGAACATGGTACCTCTGAGTAATGGCAGCAACACAGATTTGAATATGGAATTTATAATTACTGCTTTTGATTGACAGCTCTATCTACTTTGAGAAGTAGTTAAGTTCCATCTTATTGTTTAAAACTGGAGTTAAACTGTTATCAACTTGGTGACCTACTCAATAGATGAAAGATGATCTTTAATGAATCAAATCTTTCAAATACTTTATTATACCACATCTCTCCAAATTAGTTCATTTTTAAAATCTCACTGGGTGGCCACATTAAATAGGTGGATTAAGTACCCTTTTCCTCCTAGCATCCAGTTATCAGCAAACTTTAACAAGCATGCTATTATCCAACAGACTTACTGATCTCGGGGGAAAGGGAAGAGGACAAGGGAGTTGTTCTCACCAGGGTTTGAGTTCCAGCATGTCTAGATTTTTAAGGCAACTGTGTACAACACAGTACATTTACAACTGGGATTTCACTACACAGCTCATGGGCCTCAAAGGTCTTGCTTGGACAGATTTCTACTTCTTCCCTTTGATGTTTCATTCATGGTAGTTGGAAAATGTCCTCAGTTGCTAAGATCTTCAATATAAAGACCAGTTGACCAGTTTAAATACCACAGGCAAATTGACAAATCGAAGGAGGCAGCAGTGATGGGACAGTACATGTAACACGTCTGGTGCAGATGTGTGGCGATGGGACAGGAGCACATACTTTGGAGGAAGTGCTGTGACATGTAGATGTGACTGTGTGCACTGCTGAGGTAGCAGGGCTTAGATCACACGCTCACAAGTCTTGATTGTCCAAAAAAGCCTCTGTTCCCATCTCTAACGTGGAGCTGGAATGGTTAGTATAATTCAATTTTTTCACTGCAATCCACAATCTGATTGATTGGCAGGTCACACTGGCACTCCTACCTGAGGTATTTTAGCGCTAATGATTGGTTCCTGTAAGACTATTCTATAACAGAACACAGGAAGAGCAGTTCAAAAACACAGCTGTGGAAGGAAAACAATCATACAAAATGCCCACTATGGGGCCCGCCAGCCTTTTCTTTCCTTTGGATGCAAGCATGCTTTTCATAGGACAAGAATGAGGAGCAGGTTCTTATCCCACTTAAAAGCTGAATCGGGGGGAATTAGGTCTCTTCTAGTGGGCAAAAAAGAGGGAGGAGTGGACACGCATCTATGTACGGTGCTCCCCAGCCCTGTTCTGGCAGGTCTCTTTACAAACTGAGGACACAATTGCTAGATCAGGTCTCCAGAGACAAGTATGCCATAAAAACAGAAAGAAAAAAACACCTACTAGGACTCACTCTCAAAGAGGGGGACAGGGAAAAATACTTTAAAAACAAATCCAAAACAAAAACAAAAACCAAACCAAACCAAACCAAAACACCAAAATCCTCCAGAATATACTGTGATTGTGCCAGCATGTAGCACGTAGGTTCCTCTCTGTTCCTCTCCTTTGAGCTCTGTCTGGGGCAGGGCACTTTTTATCCATGTGAACTCTATTCTATTGCACGTTTCTGAGGAAATAACATCTACAGGGGTACTGATAAGACTTCCAGATGAGAAGACTGTACAGAAAGACAAACAGACTCAAAGCAAAACAATGTTTTTTGTTTGTGCTCTTAGGACATCCCTTTGCTCCCTCACGTGTGGACTATCTGGTTTTGTAGCTATAGTTAGGTGAGGCCCTAACACACAGCAGCCTTGGTTTTCGTGGAGGGCTTAGATATTACCTTAGTACTACTGTCAACTTTTGTTCCTCCAAACAATTCTGCTTTAGATAGGAGCAAAAAACTGATAGTAACACAGTCAGCAGGGCTTTAGCTAACAGGGGTCAATAGTGAGACATCATCACTGAATCACTCGTTGGGCTTTATAAGGTAATCCAGCTAGATTAAAAAAGATTATTTGTGTGTGTGTGTGTGTGTGTGTGTGTGTGTGAAGAATATTTTCTCTATAGCACAGAAGATGATCTCTCATTAAGATTTTATATTATAAAATAAAGAAATGAGAGCACCATAAACCAATCTTCAGTTGACTGGCTTAATAAAAGCAGGCAACAGGCAACAAACAGAAGCAGGATACACTTAGAAATCCCAAGTGAGGAACACACCACAGGGAAAAACCCTGATTTAGGAAATAATTGAAATGAAAAGCCTGTGACACTAGATTTCAAGAAGACAATACAAAGATAAGCTTTGTGAGAACACTCAGACCAAGGCGTGCAGCAGAATGCACGCTAGTAACATAAGGAAACATGCATATTCAGAAATGTGCAATTTGCTGTAAGATAGTCCTCAGCATCTAACTGTGAATACAGGGGAAAAGTTATCTTTCAGTATTTCTTGAAAACTTCCTAAGCAAAGGGTTGGATTTTAATTAAAGTACAGAGGGGTAATGAAATGAGGCTAGGTGGGTTTCATGCTAGGCTAGGTGAAGTGTTACGTGATTCTGGTAGTCACAGCTAGAGATGGAGCTAGGAAGCAAGAGGATTGGACCCACTCATAACAAAGCTTCCTTTAAGTAGTTAAGACATGCTCTGAAGAGCTACTCTCACAGCACAGGTGTACAGAGTCACTTGGCCCTTGAAGGCAGCATCATCCTCTACTTTCATAAGCCTCCAAAGCATTCTGAATGGCATAAACAATTTAAACTGCTATGGAAATAAGTCATCACAAGGTCTCCTTATAGACTTTGGGAGGTGAGGGTAGAGAAACACCTCTAGGCAATTTTAACCTATCTCCACAGAACAGTTTCCTCCTGGCAAATTTTCTTACTCATTGTCTGAATGACTTGGATAACAGATTAAGCTTGCATTCAGAAGATCATTTGGAATGGTCCAAATGAAAGTCCTCAAGACTCAGAAGCTTTTACTACGCCACTTAGATCACTTTGTCTATCTTTTAAGTAGTGTGTGACCAACAAATCATGGAACTTCAGCTACAGCTAGATGGATATGGATTAAATGTCATTGTGGCTAGTGTAGCCCACAACTCAATGACTGTGAGAGTCTAGACTAATCATTATGTTACTTGGTTCCCCTGCTGGCTGCTAAGAAAGAGTCCCACTGGTTTGGGACTTCTGGGGAGAGAGGTTTTAAGCCCAGAGTCTTTGGGACCCTCTGATTACTATACATTCTTCACTGGTATCAGTTTCTTCTGTGACTCTTACAAGTTTAGGTTTTTTTCAAAGTATGAAAAATTAGAAAGCACACGGTTCAGAAAGCTTATTGCCATTTATGTAAATCAAAGCTCTAATGATCTAAAGAGGGGTGTGAAATGAGACGAAAAGCGGAGGGGGGAAAGAGCTGGTGTACGGCTCAGCTAGTCTTGTTTTAACGTATGCAGATGACACGATAGTGTAAGACTTTAAACCTGCTGATCATCTCAAAAAGCAAAATACCCAAAACATTGGTGGGCAGAGGGAAGGGAAAAGAATATGTCCAGTAGGCTGACCCTAGCAATGATCAGGAAACCCAAAGGCTTAGTTTCTGCACCCAGGGGCAAGCGCAGTGGCGGAGAAGCATGCTTGCATTCTTCAATATATAAATATATATCCACAAGGAAAAAAGGAAATAAAAATCAAATTATAGTTTCAAAAAGGAAAACGAAACAAAAATAAAAACAAAACAAACCAAAGAAACAGAAAAAAAAGGCTGGCTTGTCAGGGGATGGGGTCAAAAAGGCCCCGGTGTGTGTACTTACATAGAGGTCAGCACCGTAAAATCCGTCCTGGTAAACCACACTGCAGAAAATCCACACAAAAACAAAAACAAAAAACAAAAGAACAGAAACACATTCCGGTTATTGAGGACGGCGGCATGCACATGCGCTCTACACAGGCAGGTGATGTATGAATATGTGACCTGGATATGGGGCCATGGCAAGTCAGTGAGAAATGTGTCAAGTGCCCATGTACGTTCCACAGCTCCGACATGTGAGGAGAGGTAAGGGTCTGCAAAACTGGAATGAGTACCTGGCACCTGGTAACTTAGGTAAGGTAACACAGTAACAGCTCTCCTGACAGGGCCTCCCACAGCTTATCTAAGACCTGATGGACTGCAGGTCGGCTTTTTGTATCGGGAGTATTTTAAAACTTAGTTTGCCCTAGGAAGAGTTGTTCTTTAAGAGTCTACAAAGGACAGGGTGTAAAGGGGCTTAACTTCATCAAGAGGGCAGGACCTATATGCAGAGTAAGCTTCAAGCTGTGTTTACTAGGTGACTTTCATTTTGGTAATAAAATGTACTTCTTTCTGATATCCATACATCACCTGCTTTACCCTGCACATTAGACATGCGATAAGATTTGGCTGATCACACAAGCATGCAAAGTATTATTATTCAGCATTTTTAAGAACCAATGCAACACCTCGGAAAAACAAGTCAATCAATTCTGAACAAAGTAAACAGAGAAATGTAATTAAAAAAAACCAAAAGAACAAAACAACCAAAAATACCCACAATGCATTGCTTTCACAAGCAGAGATAATGAGCTAAAGGTTAAGGTGATTGGTCCAAGGTCCAAGAATTGAAAGGTGCAGTGGGGATCCCAGATAGTAACAACATAATCCAGGGTGGGAAGGAGTAACTGGAAGACTTCAAGGGTTCTTTTTTGGCCAATATTTGAAGAATTCTGAAAAATACATCTGATAACTGAGGTTCTGGGCATGACCAGGTGTTATCCTGTCTTATTTAAGATCACAGAACTGAGAAGGCGGCTGCAAGGGTTTGTATTTTCCTGTTTGATAATGGATCTGGATGCAGCAGACAGTACACTGTCTTTTAAAAATCCTTATCTGCAACAGAGTGTATTATTATTCTTAAAATGTAGACTTTGCATTTGATCTTATGAAGTGTTTTGTATATAAAAATTTTCCCCAAAACATCATTTTGGGAGCAAAAGACAAATAGTAGAGAGAAAAGATGAACCTTCTTCACATTTGTTAGATCAAGATTTGGCTTGTCTTACACTTTTTAGGTGTTTATTGCTTATTCAACTAAATAAAATGGAAAATTTCTAATAAGCTAACAAGTAGGCTCATTAAATCATATTTTTAGCTTGAATAAGAAACAGTTTGTTTCTGAATTCTATCTCCAGTGGCATTTTCTTGTATCTACAGGTCAGCATGGCCACCTCAACACCAAACCTGCTATGCCATTGCACTATAATGAGAGGCAAAGCAGACTCATCTTTGATGCCTATACAGCTAAATACTACTCCTTCCTAATCTTCACTTGCAGTTAAAGTCTGATATCGAAAAGGAATCTGCCTCTCCATTTCATTTTAATAAGACTTGCTCACAACGAGAAGGCTGATAAAAAGCACCATACAAGTACTGCAGAGTTAACCTTTGCCACTGTCAATAAGGGGACAACAGGTAAAGAGCAGGAGTGCATTTCTTCTAGAGAAGTGTTGGGATTAAAACATGCAAATATTCTGTTGTTCTAAGTCAAATCACTTAAGTATTCACCTAAACTCTGGAAGAATTTCAATATTCTCTGTATCAAATGCCACAGGAGGCTGGAACACTGTGACTAATGATGGAATTAGCTTGCTAGGCTGAAAATCAATTCTAGACCATTCCCATATAATACTGGACTTATTCCTTGCCATCTTCCATGTACCAGGTGGTTTAGTTAATAAAAAAGAATACATGGGAAATTAGCATTCAGTGTAATGCACAGAAACTGATGTGATTAGACATAAAAAATAAAATACCTTTAATCAAATACATGCTTCACATGGACTTGGTAGAAAAGGGGACTCAAGTTTGATCAGTATTCTCAAATGACCTACATTGATCAGGAATGAACTCCACTGCTTTATAAAGTAACTCAGGAAGTTTCTCTGTGCATTCTCTCTCTGCAAATGTGACAGTACTCTTGGGTTGAAATGGGAGACACATTATGAAAGTGTTGAACTTTCCAAAGATTCATTTTTATGTTTCCCTCAACTATTTCTTCATGAAACAAAGTTGTGTCTTTAATTTACTTCTTTTAAGGAGATGTCAGAGGTTGAAGGTCAAAGGTCAAGTTGAGACAAAAAAGGATAAACTTAAAAAGCAAGTCATGGCAGAAGATGGAGATGATGGATGCATGGGGTTTGATCATCTATAAATTGCAAATGAAAGTTGCTTTCTGAAGCAGCTCCCTTGCGTCTTTCGGAGTCTGCACTTCAGCATGCATACTTGCCTTGTCTAACAAAAATGCTTTAATTCTGTGGCATGGAGGGCTCCTAATGGGATGTCCATTGGTCTATGAATGAATGAATGTTAAGTTAGTACACCTCCAGGGGAAGCCAGTTTTTCTATCAGAAAGGGGACATGCTCTTTCCCTTCATGTTTTAACTAAGAAGCAGTTAACTGGATTATCTGCTGTTTATATTCCTTTGTAAGACTATAGGAAAAAAAAAAAAAGACTGTCATAGGCAGAGAAAAGATGAAGGAGACAAATGTCACATCTTTGAAGAGAGAAAGTCCTTGGTACCACTGAATTAGAGAAATTCACCTTATAAAAAATATACATCTAGGCTGACATGGATAAACAACTGAAAGCAAATCTGCCATCTTCCCTCCTTCTCCCCATTCAAAACAAAGGATTGACTTGTTGCTATGGAATCATTCCACTGCATGAGACGCCCCCCACTGCAAAGCGGAGGGCGAAGGGTGCTCAGCTCTATCAGCTGTTTACCATGACTCAGAGGCCAACTGCAGCTTAATTCCTCCTACTTCTCCCTTTCTCCCTTGATTCAATTGGACTTGGTCATCTTTGAATTAACCTCTTTTAGTCCGTTTCCTACAAAGAAAGCAAATCCATTGTGGGTAACTAGCTCTGCTGCTCACCACCCAGGCAGTGAAACCACGGGGAAGTGCATGTGCCAGCCTCGGCCCCAGCACCGGGTGGTGAGAAGGGGTGAGCACAGCAGATGCGTCCTGGTGCTACAATCTCCAGCTCCTCTCTCAGTTCTCTGCAGTAGTGTTAATTCATATGCGTGCGCTGCTGAGTGAACTCCATGCCAACACACTGCTAGCAAACACAAGACAGTTCTGGCTACTGTCTTAAGCCAACACCATGAAGGCTTAAGGTGGCCAAAATGAAGATTTAGATAATGAATTGACATTTGGTTACATTCCCATGATAGTTTATTTTGGTTCTTGCCATCTAATTCATTAATTTGCAAATACTCATTGAGCATCTAAATGCTGCACGGCAACGTCCCAGAAGTTACGAGAGGGCCATGGCACTTCTGCTTCTTTCTTTATGCCAATTGCTTATTCTAGAGACATTGTGATTTTTCTGGAATCTAATGCTTACCCTGGATAGGCGGGGATGGCTGCTGGAGGTACCGCTCGGACTGCACCATACACTGTCCGCCCTCTGCCCCGCAGATGGGCTCCTCTGAAAGCGGCTGCCGTGGTGGCTGCAGTTGGGTAAGGGAAGCCAGGAACTAAAGGGAGACCCAAAATAGGACAGAAATTTCAACTTGCATTCAATAGCTGGTACAGTCACAACCTGTGAACAAGTTATGGAAAAGATGGAAAGACAGGTACCACATCTTTCTTGAATAGAGTGCATACATATTAATCAGTATACTCCCTACTCTGGGTCTTTGGGAAAAAGTGGAAAAAGAGACACAATAAGACCTCATGAATGATTCCACACCTCATTCACCACAAATCTGGAATGAGTTTACCTGGTCCTTCCCAGTTTTTTCACTAGAATGTAAACTGACAGGAAAACAAAACAAAACAAAACAAAAAACCAGGTTAAGAGTCTCTAAGAACTACAGTACTAAGACGTCAGGTTTTTAATTTGGGGAGTAGTTTAAATCACATTGACATAAAATCTTCAACTGGCTAACAATCTTATTTTCAACTGTTATTATATACATACAATTACTCACAAGAATGTTCTTTTTGTGTTTTTAAATGCTACCAACCTCCAAGGCATTCAATAGCATTTAGAACATTCATTTGTCAATTTTATTTCTTTATTGAAAAATTTTAACCTGAAACATAAGGTGAGAGGGAACTATCCCCTCCCCAGTGCCTTGTATCATTTTTTTAGGCAGACATTTTCTAAGGTCTGTTTTAAGCATGCCTCGCTTGAAAGGCATGCAGAAACACTGACTCCACATCTGCGGAATCCTGTTTAATTACATCTCTTGCCAGAGTAGAAGGGCTAGGTTAAAGTGGACTAGGAGAGGACATGAAGAATGCAGTCACACTGTAGACACACTGATATCTTGATATCCTTACCAAGTACAGGCTAGACTATTTTTCACATGTTCATCCTCTACATTCTCCAGTGAATTTTTGTTTTCTGACAATCTTAACACTCGGTTAGGAAGATGCTAACAAGAATTCAACAGAACAGGGCACTGTGATGCTATCTATCACCCCTCTTAACAAGTCTCAGTTATGTATCACACTAGAAGAAGAAAACAGACCAAACTAGCACATCAGTGGCAGTAGTCAAAACCCATGCCAGGTCAATATAGGCTACTTACTGATTAGAGGAATGTAAGTGTTGATGCCCCCTCTTCCTGAAAGGGGCACAGCTGCCTCATTTCCTAGGGACACATCTGCTTGAAAGCTGGAGGCTGGGTGCATTAAAAAATAATGAAAATGTGAAAAGGTTATAAAGAACCAGCAAACTGAACACCCCGCAGACACTGCTGTGAACTTGTACAACGGAAGCGTTCCAACACTACCTGCATATAACTCAGGGCCATACACAGCTCCAACTACTGGGCTTAATTTCCAGCCTGAAACAGAAAAGAAGAAGTGAACACTTAAGACTATGTAGGACAGAGGTGAGCTATACTGTCAAGATGGCTTCCAACATTTCTAGGCTCACTTTTCTTTACTGCTCCAATTCAAGATTTACAGGAAAGGACAATGGCATCTTTCAGCAGAACAGCTGAGGGGTGAAGGCTTGGGCAGATAGGCAGGGTACACGGAATAAAGGGTGGGAAGACAGAGAATGTCCTAGCTATCTTTAACTGTCCACCTGACACAGCCTAGAGTCACCTGAGAAGGAAGTCTCAACTGAGGAATTTCCCAGATCAGACTGGTCTGTAGACATGTCTGTGGGGGACTATCTTGATTGCTAATTGATAGAGAAAGGTCAAGCCCACTGTGGGCATCACCATTCTCCGGGCAGGTGGTCCTGGGCCATACAAGAAAGCTAGCTAAGCATGAGCCTGCTAGTGAGCCAGCAAGTAGCATTCCTCCATGGTTTCTGCTTCAAGTTCCTGCTTGAATCCTGCCCTGACTTCCCTCAGTGATGAACTGTGACCCTAAAGTTGCTTTTGGTCAGTGTTTTATCATAGCAACAGAAAGCAAAAAGAACAGAAAGAAATTAGGAGGAGGAAGATGGAGAGGGAATGAGAGGAAGAGGCAAAATGTGGCTAGAACACTATCCAGATGACTTTCTCTTAGTTTAGAAGAGGCAAGAAGACAGAAAACTCATCATTGGGTATCACATGGTGATACTTTCTTATATGTGTTCTGGACGTTGCTTTCTACTAGTTGTTTTATACAGGTGTATGCTCACTGAATTCAAAACTGGCCTGGAACTTGTCTCCACATTCAGTTATACATGAAGGCTTTATGGGTAAATGGAAATTCTCTTTCATGGGGATTTTACTAGGGCTCACCGAGTGAGAAGGGAAAGACATGCAATAATAAAGTACAAGGTCCATTCCCATCTTTCCTGCATGGCTTCTGAGGTTTCAAGTTGTAATGACATATTTGAGTTATTCAGACTCTCTTAACTGAAGAATACCAGTTTGCTGTCAAACATTAGGCTCAAGATTTATAAATTATAAATGCTGAGTTATCAAACAGTATCATTTTTTAATACCATGTTTGACGAAAATTATTTCTTCTTCCACTTTATCTATCTGAAAGAATAGGGCAAATGTCTTTTCAAAGCAAGAAACTCATTCTACTTTCCCCTAACAATGAGGAGAATTCTAAATAAAAACCCAATCTATACACTTACTGAGCCATACATAAACACGGGTATACCATGTTTTTTTTTTTTTCCGTGGTGACTGGGTCTTCATGGATTTCTTCCCCTAGCACTGTTGCATTGCTATGAATATGGGAATGGAAAGAAAGCCAAGTCTACTGAAACTACAGATTTTTCTTTCATTTTCTACACTTATTTAGTATGTGTGTATGTGAGTGGGTCTGTGTGTGCCATGGTGTACATGTGGAGGGTCAGAGATCAATTTGCAGGAGTTAGTTCTCTCCTTTCACCATGTGGGTCCTGGGGATCAAACTCAAGATCGACAGGTATGGCATTAAGTGCCTTTACCCACTGAACCCTCTTTAAGACAAGATTTGCTATGCCGCCCAGGCTATGTGCCCTGGAACTCATTATTCTCCTGTTTCAGCCTTCTAAGTGCAGAGATTATAGGTGTGAGCCACCAGTTGTGACTGCAATTAACAGATTCAAATGGCCATAAACAAAGACATCACCCATACATTCCCAATCAACCCAATCTGCCATTTGCATGAAAGTGTTCATGAGGGTCAGAAGATGGCTTACTGGGTAAAGGTGCCTGCTGCCAAGTCTGTTTGATCCCTAGGACCCTCATGGTGGAAGGACAGAACAGAGATCCTTAGGGCTAAAGGTTATCCTCTGATCACACACATGCATGTATGCCCCCACACAAGCCATAGCATCTGTGTGCCCACATACAAACACACGAACTCCCTAATTAAATAAAATGTAAAATGAGAAAGTGCTGACTCATATACCTAAGGTCTCTTCATCATTCTATGTGAAATTCTGGCCAAGTTTGAGCTGAAATCTGACTAGAACTGGAGGTGCATGAATGCCCCACAATGTGCAACGTTTGAGTTCCATAGACATTGCAACTTCTCTTAAAAAATTAAGTGTTTCCAACCAATGTAAAGGATGAGAACGCTCAGCCAACAGAAGGCTCCCACACACTTTCCTAATCTTGGGACCTTTAATGCAGCAGCAGTGTTCTTGACTATCAGGTTTGAACACTATTTAGAATAACACCCCAAGGCTTTTTCTCTCCTAGCAGAGGCACTGTTACTTCTTGAGTACTCTCTTTAAGTCCTCACAATGATGGGTTGCTACTAATATGTGGAGATTTTTTTTTTTAAAGTTTTGTACAATATATTTTCACAGGCGCCATCTGACCTTCACAAAACCCAAAGAGGGAGAAAAACATAACACATCTGTGACTGTGGGTAGACATGGCTCTATGCTGGGCCCAATGCTCCAAATAGTAAGTGGGAGGGAGGTTGGGTTCTAACAATTTCTAAAAGCCTTCTGGTGCTAAAATTCTGTGGTTGCTAATTTACAATTATGAAAATAGCATCAAACAAGAAATTGGTCTATACTATAGAGTAAAATGTACACGAAATCTAGAAGTAGAATTCCCAAATTCTGAAATTCAGAGGCTCTTCCTGTCACACCATACAATTTTTCCTGGAGCTAAAGGAAATTTGACATAACCTGCCCTTTTCCTTCTGTTTCATACAGGGTTTAAGTCAAAATTACAGAAGCCTGTTTTTGCAATAGCAATAAAAATATGAAAACGAGGTTAAGTGGGAGTTGGTGGTATCTTATGATTAATCCACTAAGATGAACAGCAACAATGGAAATTACACTGAAAACCTGCACTCCTGTGTAAAAGACTAGGCCAGTATGTTTAGCAAAGAGCTTAAGAAACACAAAATCTCAGGACCCAAGCTACTTGACTTCCTCTTTATTCTTCAAACTGGTTCCGTAGAACAGTTTGCACAAAGCCACTGTATCATTACAGTTTAAAAGCGCATTCCATCTCATTTAGAAAACATTAACCTCAAGTTTGACAGCAGATATAAAAGTTTGGTTTTTTAATTTACTTTCTTTTTGTCGTTTTGAGACAGGGTCTCCCTGTAGCCCCCATTGGCCTGGAACTTGCTATGTAGACTAGGCTGGCCTTGATCTCACAGAGATCTGACTGCCTCTGCCTCCTGAGTGCTGGGATTAAAGGCGTGGACCACCACACCGGTCTTAAGATTTTTAATTATGTGTATGTGTGTGTGCATGTGCATGTCCCTGCATGTATGTGTGTATGTGCATATATGCCTAAGTCTAGAGGCATCAGATCCCTCCAGAACTGGAGTTATCAGTGGTTGTGAGCTGTCTGATGTGGGTGCTGGGAACCTAACCTGGGGGTCCTCCGTAAGAACAGCACATGCCCTAAACTGTTAAGCCACACTCCAGTCTTAAATTCTGCTTAAAAAATTTTTAGCACTTTTTAGCATGAGACAATGAGCATGCTTGTGTGCCATGGTTCACATGTGGAGGCCAATGGACAACTTGGGGAAGTCAGTTTCTCTTTCACCCTGTTTCCATTACTGTGTGGTGTATTCCAGGCTAGCTGTCCCAAGAGCTTCTGGCTGATTTTCCTGTCCCTGCCTCCTATCTCTACGTAGCAGTGCTGGGATTACAGATGTGTACCACCATATTATCTGGGTTCCAGGGGTCGAACTCAGGCTGTCAGGCTTACTCACTGAACTATCTCTCCAGTCCAAAAGTTCTGTTTCTGTTAGGACAAATTACTCAGAAAATTTTGTTCTCAGTGAGAAATATTTATTTATATTAAAAAAATTTTTTTATGTGTATGCATGTATTGCCTGCATGTAGGTAAGTGCACCCATGTCCTGCAATGCCCTTGGAGGTCAGAAGAGGCTGTCGGATCCCCTGGGACTGGAGTTACGGACAGTTGTTAGCTGCCATGTGAGTGCTGGGCTTCAAAACCGGGTCTTCTGCAAGAATAACCAGTGTTCTTAACCGCTGAGCCACTTCTCCAGCCCCCTCAGTGAGAAATATTTATGAAACTAACTATATAACTTGCCATCGTGGATTAGAAAATCTACCCACATCCATTCTCCCTATGGTCATTACTGCCAGGCCTTACGGAAAGCAAGGAGTCTAGAACCACAAAAGTGACCAAGACATATCTTTCCTTCCTACCCATCCAGCTCAGATGCATCTGAAGAGGAGCCAATAGCAAAACAGGCTTGCTGGGCTGCCACAGTTAGGTGGGCAATCCTCACATACTACAAGGAGCTACAGAGGCTGCTCGAGGGCTTCCTGACCTGACTGAATAGGCAACCTCAACTGAAGATGGTACCATGTAACAGAAAGTTAACAAGAGCAGAACACCTGCCTAACTAAAGGCTTAATGCAAATTAAACAAATGGTCTTAAGACTGACACTTGGAGATTTCTACAAGCTCAGAAATTTCAGGTATTTAGAGGAATAAATGACATCCCCAGAGGACCTGTGTAGTTTCATACCGTTTGCATATGGCGTGACCATCTTCTTATTGGTCATTACACGTGCTGTAGCATTATTCACCTAAAAACAAGGACACAGAGGGGCGGGGAAGAAGCATGAATTAGGGAACTTCACTGCACACCTAACAACACAGTACTTTATTTAAAATGCTGACAGCATTGAGATTAACATTATAAAACATTTACAAAATTTTCATATAAGTGCTTATTAAATGGGGCTAACAAGAGTAAAATGTAGTTTCTTGGTCTCCAAATAGAAAACTAAGGTTATTCTACCACTAATATTCCAAAGGAGATACATTTACAAGTTCTTTGGAGACCCTTAAGTAGATGTCTCTACATTTGGGAAAACTCAGAAAAAAGGAAATAGTGAACAACTGTATCTGTGAATGAACTTTGAAATTAGTAATAAAATGGAGGTTTGCCACCAGAGCCATGAAGGAGATTCAGAGGGAGATAATAAAGTCAATCTATTGATGCCACCTGTCCTATATTTTGTGTTTACGTAAGATTTTACTGTCTGGGGTTAGTAAATAAATAAAGGAATGAAAGAGTCCTGATGTTGACAGTCTTTAGGACCATTCTGAATTTTCCAGACCATATGGGCTGTTCATTTAAGAATGATGTTTTCAGAAGGCCTTTGGTGTAGGTGCTTAGCTCTGAAGTACTCAACTTCATCTTCCTTTCTACCCCATGGCAAACACATGGTTTGAGGCGCTCTCCATGCCAGAGTAAGCAACCCTCATGAAGACTGTGTTGCTGGAGAAAGGAAGGACAGAACCTGGAATTCAGGATACTGTGGGCGGCCTCAAGGACAAACCCCAGTGCTCTTGTGAGAAGGGTAAAGCCTCACCATAGAACTCAGCTATGGACTGTCTTGAACGTGAGACTTAAGGAATATAAATGTGTCTTATTTTTTTTCTGAAGCAAAGTCTTATTAGCAGCTCAGGTTGAGCCTGGAATTTGCTGTGTAGCCAGGCTGGCCTCCAACTTTGATTTTCCTGCTTCAGCCTCCTGAGTCCCAAGATTACAGAGGCTTGTCTGGCAAGGCCGGCGTACTTTGCCTCTTGGTATACACTGTGTTAGATTTATGTTATGAAGACAAATTTTAGGTAGAATTAAAAAAAGTATCTTTTGTGACGTGTAGAGTGATTTTGTTCCTGTGTGGCGACAGCCTGAAACTCCATTTACTCTAGTTTGACCCGTAGATAATGGAAACATTTCACGTTTACAAAGAAAGAATGAATGGGAGACAACAATGATGAGACTGAGAGCATGCAGTTAAAACACACACACAGAAGAAAGGGGGACAGTGAAGAGCAAGGTCAGAGTGGAGCGAGAGCGAGAAGCAACTGCTAGAGCAGAAAGCAACCAAGCAATTCAAAAGAACACAGCCAGAACCAACCAGACACTACCAGTCAGCAGGAGACACCAACAGCTGCAGGGGGAGAGGGGTGGGAAGGACAGGAATGAGAACGGGGAAAGAGAGCAGTGAGACAGAAGTGAGGAAGGGGTGGTGGGCAGGAAAAGAGCCACCCAGTCAAAGAAAGAACTACACAGTGGCTTGGCAGAGAGGAAAGGTGGGGAAGGACATCAGGGCAGGAAGTGCATTAATAAAACCAGCCAGACTGGAGTTGAATAACTCTGAGTAAGATGTGCAGGGGAAAAAAAATCACCATGAAGTCAGTAACCAAACAGCTCAGACTGCTACAAAACAATATATACATCCAAAGTCCAGGCGACATCACCCCACAGCATTGAAAATAAAGGGGAGGGGAAGGAGGAGGAGCAAGTCAATCACATTTTGTAGTGTTAATGTGAGATGGCAGATGGACTTTTTCTTTCTTAATTGTTTTGTAATTACATTTTTAAAAGCTTCTTCTCTAGCACTTCGATTCACTTACCGCCAACGGGTACCATCGCCAGCATTGTGTATAGTTACCATGGAAAGAGTGAGTCAAGTGAAGGGCCCTAAATGCTAAACCATTGGAAAGGGGGAAAAAAGCAAAATATGCAGACATCTTACTCAAATGGTGGCTTTTATATTTAATACTTTTAAAAATTGGGAAAGGGGAGAGGAGCCAGTTAACCTTCAATGTGTTAGTCACACCAGAGGACTGGTGAGCCCAGGTGGCTGACTCAATTGTAGCCACAGCATCTATGCAGCTAGCCCTCTAGAAGATGCTATCTGTAAAGTTAAGAATAAACTTCAAATTCTCGGTATAGTTAAAAACTACCTGAGTTTTGGATTCTGTCCTCCCTCCCACAACCTCTAGAATCATCTATCCATGCTTATCACACGCACATGGAGGCGAACTGGCCTCCAAGACACAATGTTACAAGCTAGATAGTTTTTAGACATTTCTAAAGTTAGCTTTGCTTAGACCTCATCATAGGAATTCAGAGTCTCACAAACTGAAGCAAAGGGGGAAAAAAAAATCAAGAGAGCAGAGGATGAACATTCTGGAAGAGGAAAAAAGTAAATGAAAAAACAAGGAAACACATTCCCACCCCCTAAATTAAAACCCCAAATGACCTAAACCAGGGGAAGAGGCAGATAGGAGCGGTGACTTTTATACAGTGCAGTGCGAGAAGGCGAAGAGCACAGGTACAGACAGGTGCACACACACAGGACGGGCTTCCAAATGAGAAAGAAGTGAGGCAATACAAAAAGAAAAAAAAATATAAACGAGAAATTGAATTATTGAAGACATGCACCTCGATTTTACGGCCCTCTACCACGGTGCCGTGCAATTTCTCCCTGGCCCTGTCTGCATCAGCACTATTCTCGAAAGTTACGAACCCGAATCCCTGCATGCAGCGGGAGAAGGGGGGAAAACATGCACATCGTTATATTGAAATACTTGTCTCTTGGTAAATAGAGAAAATATCAACAGTATGAAACTGACATCAGCACAGTTCAACACTTCAGCAGTACTCGTCCAAAGGCACGTTTCTGGTCCATGCATACTTTGTAAAGGGAAATTAAACCCAATAAAGGATAAAGAACTGTAATAACAGTAACAATAACTTCATTAACAATAATAACAATGAACTAAAATATAAAGCACGTGAGGCCAGACCAAGATTAAGGTACTAAGTTACTCGGGTCAAACTATTCAACAAAAATATGAACACTAAAAAACATACAGTATTATTATTGCATGCATTGGTATATACCAGGTGTATGTGGAAGATAGAGGACGATGCCAGATGTCTTCCTCAATTGCCCTTCACCTTATTTTTATTATTTATTTTTTAAACATTTAGTTATTTATTTTGTGTGGTATGTGTGTGGAGGTCAGAGGACAACTTGGAAGAGATGGTTCTCTACTTTCGCTGTGGAAGGGGTTCCCACTTTAGATGGAACTCAGGTTGCTAGGCTAGGCATCAGGTGCCTTTACTCACTGAGCAATCTCATCAGCCCTCCACCTGATTTTTTGAGACAGGGTCTTCCAATGAACCTGTAGTTCTCCAATTGGCTAGACTGCCTGGCCAACGAACCCCAGGGATCCTCCAGTCTTCACCTCACCAGCACCAGGGTTACAGTTTATGCACGGCTGCATTCAGATTAAAAAAAACAAAACAAAACATTTACGTATGTATGTATGTATGTATGTATGTGCATGTGTGGGTAAGCATGTGCCGTGTGTGTGTGTGTGTGTAGTCAAGAGGAGCACTTGTTCTCTCCTCTCATCATGTGGGTTCGGGAGACTGAATTCAGGTTGTCAGACTTAGCAGCAGTGTCTTTTTATCTGCTGAACCATCTCCATGTGCCTGGATTTTTTACATGGGTGCTGCGGAACAGGTCCTCATGCCTACAAGGTAAGCATTTTACAAACAGAGCCATCTTCCCAGCCCCGACCATTTTTAACTCCTATGCTTGCCTCTTGATTTAGGCTGTTAATGAGCATGATGCCCCTTATGTACTACTAATAAAGAATCGACTCTTGGACCCCCAGGTCTATTATTCTCTATTGATGGCTATATGAAATTTCATATTCAGTATTAATCACTACCTAATGAGATTTGAAAGGAGAGCTAAGTATTTTACTTCTACTTTACTTGTCACTTATACCACTATCCTTTGCAAACAGGATAATTTAAGACAGTTGTGAGGTCTAATTCTGCAGGTATCAGGTATGGAAACTATCCTTTGCAAACAGGATAATTTAAGACAGTTGTGAGGTCTAATTCTGCAGGTATCAGGTATGGAAACAAGTAAATCTATCACAAGACAATGAATAACTATGACTGTTCTGCAATAAGAATTTTAAATGATCAGATTGGGACTTTACAGGAAAAATGTATACAGCAGAAGTTCAGAAAACTGCTAATCCAAATTTGCCTATCATGCATCTGTTGATATCTGTATCTGCTGTTAAATATACTAGTGATTTTCCACATAAAGAACAGTCAACAGGCAATGAACAGGAGTGAGAAATGTTAGTGACATTAGCTGTACACTGTCCAATCTGAAAAAACTGCCATTAAGTAACACAGTAGATGCCACAATGGGTCAAGATTAACTTAATGTGTCTCTGTGGCTGGTACAGAGATGGAGTGGAGCTTGAACTCATTAAGTACACAGAGCAGGAGAGCAGGAAGCTAGCCCACACCTCTCTGTTCCCATCATCGCTACTGCTTCTGCTGTGCAATTTACTTATGCTTACGTCTCATAAAGCACCACCAACTTTACTTTAGGTACCTTGCTGTTACCGTCCACTCTGCAACTGTAATTTACAAATAATCTCTCCAGCTGTTCACACCTGCAGAGTGGTCTTTTCTCAGGATTTTCTGGGGAGAAAATTTTCACCAGTTCTCTTGTGCCCTTAGCAATTTCTGATCTTCTGAAGGAGAGTCAAGCTTCTTGCTCTGTCACAAAACAACGTAAGCATGCATTCATGCACAAAATCCTGTCTGAACTGAGACTCGGCCAACAGTGTGCGTTGCTCAATGACTGGATTTTACAGAAGACTAGGGTCACTAGTGCTCCAAATGGTGATGTGAATGGGTGGTATCTGAGGAGCCAATGGACTGTCTCATCCCACAATTTGCACAGCACTATAAATACTGTAGGAAGGTAATGCTCAGCTGACAGAAAACCTAAATGTGTGTTTACTGTGATAGAATATTATAGGTAATTTTGCTTAATACCATCTTAAAGAATGCATACATTTGTTGAAAATATCAACAGGAAAGTATTCAGTAACCCATTTTGATATCAACATGTTGTAGCCACTTTTGACACCTCAAGGTACACAATGCAAATTACTGAGGATGCCAACTTATTTCCTTCCTTTGTGGATAAACAGACCCCATCTAAGACAAGACAGCTCTCCAACTTGAGAATCCCCAAACAGGCAAGTTAAGTCAATTTTAAGAAAGGTCATAAATAATGATGAGCTTTTTGAAATGTATTTTTAAATATTTCATTTTTAATTATGAGTATGTGTGTGTTTCTGTGTGGGTATGCATCTGATAAGAGCAGGTGTCTGCAGAAGCCAGCAGGGTCAGATCCCCTGGAGCTGGAGTTACAGGTTGTTGTGTGTCACATGATGTGGGGGCTGAAAACTGAAACTGGCGTTCTATTCAAGACAAGCACTCTTAATTAGAGCCATCTCTCCAACCCTGTGTGATGAGTTTTTAAAAAATATTTTATTATTTTTTTGTGCATGGGTGTAATCCTGCATGTATGTAGGTGCACCTGTGTCATGCAATGCCCAAGGAGGTCAGAAGAGCGGGCTGGATCTCTTGGAACTGGAGTTATAGATGGTTTGTTATTCACCAGGTGGGTGCTGGGATTTGCAGATCCTCTCCAAGAGCAGCCAGCGCTCTTAACTGCTGAGTCATCTCTCTAGCCCCCAAGATGATTTTTTATAACAACTTGAGAAGAATTAAAAACTGTATTCCAAATGATTTTCAGAGTCATACATTTTATGTCTTGGCCTAAACTAATAAATTACAAATTGGCTGTTACTATTTATTTATGTGGCGACTCATAGGCTTTTGATTTCAGCATTGTGAATTGTTATGTTACCTACACGTTGGCATCCAAACCATAATACTTGTCTGTGCACAACATGGGGTATTGGGTAGTAAGGGCAGATCTGGTGGGAAGGTAAAGAAATGGATTTAAAATGAAGCAAAACATCAAGGATATACAGTGAGTGGTAAGGAAATTAGAAATTTGAGCTTTGTGAACCTGTGTGTCGAGTCTACATACCAAGCTACATTAGTCTGCAGATCCTACTTTTTCTTCCAAATTCAGTTGTGAAGTGTCTTCTATAATCTTCCCTTTTGGAACATGTAAATGCAACACCAGCAACAGAGTAAACGTTCAGAAGAATGGAGGTGGTGGTGTAAACTTCGACTTTTTTGTTGTTGTTGGCAAATGACAAAGTTCAAGACTTACGTAAGGTTTTTTTCAGTAATGACTGATTCAGGAACAAAACTACATTTTTCTATGTCTTATTAAAAGTGTTTCATATTGAAAGATGCTCATGTGCCAAAGGAAATGCTAATCAAGACATTAAAGACCTAAGAATAAAGCAATCTTTCCCAGCATCTTTCCCTTTCCTAGGGTAGCAGGAGGAGGAAGGCCTGCTTGGTACTTTGGGACTCTCTGATTTTCTATAGCACAGAGTAAGGAGATTTCCTTCTTTTCTTTGATGATAAATAGATCTTGTGGTAGGCAGAAAAGTGCTCTCTATGCCCTTGTCCTTCATGTCTTAATCCCTGGAGCCAGAGACTATGTCACCTTACAAGGTAAAAAGGATTTTGCTGATGTGATTAGGTTAAATGATCTCAAGATATGGAGATTACCCTGGATAATCCAGGTGGGTCCAACAGTAATCCTCCTGGTATTTGTAAGGGAAAAGGGGAAGCAGGGGTGAGGGGGCTGGTGGGTTTTAGGATCTGATGGTAGGAGCTTGAAAAAAAAATCTTGGCTGGCCATGCCTGCCTTGAAAACAAAAGGGAGCCACAGTCCAATGCTTGTGGGCAGCCTCCAGAGGCTCAGAAAGGCAAGGGAACAGATTACCCCTGGAGTATCCCAAAGCAACATAGCACCTTCAGTTTAGTCTCAAGAGACCCACTTCAGACCTCTGACCTCCAGAGCCGTAAGATAATAAATACACGGCTTTAAGCCACCAGAGCTGTGGTTATTTGTTCAGAACTACAGGAAAAAAATACAAATATGTACTCGCTTAGAATTAAAGTCCCTGGTTAAGAGTTATCAAGCATTTTTAGAGCATTACCTATTCTTAAATACTTTTCTTCTGTGTTCAAACTTATACAAGGTGATTATTCACCAACCCAACCCTTATGCTTCCTTACCTATCCCATTTATATTTCAGTTTTAATGGTATTAACTCTAAGTTTAAGATTCTTTTTCTTTTCTTTCTTTCTTTTTTTTTTTTTTTTTTTTTTTTTTTGAGACAGAGTCTCTCTGTAGTGGAAGCTGGCCTGGAACTCGCTATGTAGACCAGGTTGGCCTTGAACTTACAGAGATCCGTCTGCCTCTGCCTCCCGAGTGGTGGGACTACAGGCATGCGCCACCACACCCGGCTCTAAGTTTAAGACTCTTAATGTACTTCACAATTTAACGTTAACTGTGCCAAGAATAGTCAACAGCTTACCTAGGCTTAAAAATTACCCACAGAAAAGTTGGCTCCATGAAATCATGTTTTAAAAATGTCAGAGTAAGTTCAGTTCTAAATCTCTGGCTTTACTGGGGATAAAAGGGAAAATTATGTCTAAATCAAACACATTTTGCTTACACAGTTTAAAATGGTCATAAAATATATTAAATGTTTAAATATAATAACCAATATGCACAGATATCCTATATAACAAATACATTATGTAATCTATAATAAAAATATTTACTCTCAAACTCTCAGAAGAAAAGGTATGTAATGGTGATGATTTTGTAAAAACCTAACTCCCATTAATAAAAATAAAAGTAAAATATTTTTTTGTTAAAAAATATTTATTATTTTATATGTATGAGTGTATTGTCTGCATGTAAGTGCACCTGTGTCATACAATGCCCACAGAGGTCAGAAGAGGGTGTCGGATCCCCTGGAAATGGAAGTACAAACGTTTGTTAGCCACCATGTGGGTGCTGGGACTTGAACCTGGGTCCTCTGCCAAGAGCAGAGCTCTTACCGCTGAGCTATCATCTCTCCAGCCCCAACTTGTTTTTCATTAAACAATGATGTCATTTGTTCATATCAGCGCCATCCAACAGAAATGTGTACCACACATACTTTAAATTTTCTAACAGTTACACTGAAATAATAGAAAGACGAAATTAATTTTAACAATGTATTTAACTCAGTAGACACCAAATATCATTCAATATGGCATCAATATAAAACTCTACTAAGGTGTCTGACATTCTCTCTGCCTGGCACACAGAAACCTCATGGGTACATCACACTTAGCATACATCTCAGCTTAGATACTTTAAACACTCCAGTTAAGGTTCAGTCCCAAGTTCATGTTAAATTTTTTATGTTCATAATTTGAACATGCTACACAAATGATTTCCCAGCTATCTTAGCTGTTCTTAAATCAAATGGTTTGTTAGGTGTATGGCTGTGGTCAAACTTGGATGAGGTGGGACAGCAAGTTCATCACCTGTCTTGACACCATCATTCATCAGAACATAGGAGCCGAGTAGCTGTCACCTGCTTAGTCTGGCCTCAGGCTGCAGCAAGTAACAGGCAATAGGATGAGCACTGTAAACATTAAAAACACTTGTATAATCTTTGAAGTTTTCTATCTCAGAAGAATGAGAAAGAAAATTTACCATGTAACTTTTAAGGGAGAAATCAAAAGCAGATGGATCTCCTGGGTATGGCCAGAACACAGAAATTAAAAAATAAATAAAATAAAAAGAAAACTAAAACCCATAAAGTGGTAACAAACACATCAGCATCATCTATTGACTTTACTGAAAATCACAAAGGCCTACTTGGTGTGACTTCAAGGAAAATATTTTGACCTTATTTAGAAATCATTTCCTTTGTGTAACATCAAAAACCAAGGTAATAGGCAAGAAATCAGGACATCTCCCGCATCTGAGACTAGGAGAAGTCACATCTCCCTAACTTGAGTCTAAATGGAAATCCAACCTGAAGCCAGATCTTCCTGTTAGAGATCCACCTGAGAAGGAATGAGAACACACTCACCAGAGATCTCCGTTCATGTCCTCAGGATTAAGAGCACTTGTCCCCTCAAGGGACAGCTATAGCACGAGTGTTTGCATAAAACCATTAGGGAAAACACAAGGGCTAGAATCTGTTTATTTACTTAATAAACATAATTAAAATAAAAAATTGTTAGGTAACTGGGTGATAGCAAATAGGATTGTGAAAAGTCCAAAGTTGAACAAAGGGATGAACTTATAAAAAGCTCTTAGTCACTACATCTTTTAAGCAAAGACCTGCCAGGTCAAGCATCCTGGGGGTCGAATAGTGACCATTAGAGTTTAAGAGTCTATGTGAGGTGGATGTGGTGGCACATGCTTTTAATTCCAGTATTTGGAAGGCACAGGCAGAGGCAGGCAGATCTCTGTGAGTTCCAGGTCAGTCGGGGCTATACAGTGAGACTCTGTCTCAAAAAGATTCTCTGTGAAACAAAAGACTACAAGGAAAAACAAGACCATTTCCAGGAAAGGTGTTCCTCAATGACCTATGTGCGTTTTTTTTTTCTTTCATTTTTCAGGAGGGCCTTGATTTCCCTTTAAAGGGGTATTTAAAAGTCATTACTTAAAGGAACTATAAGAATAATATTGTAGTTTATTGTTTAAACTGGCATGTTTTGAAGAAGAAAGAGGCATTATATTAATTTTAACAGGTATGAATGAGAAAATCCAAGACATATGGCCAATCTACCTAGACATTACCTTGTGTTAATATTCTGTGGTTACTAGTAAAATCCAATAATCAAGAACGTTACATAACTTATACTCATTTTTTTGATATCCTATCTGAGTAGATGATTTAATTTTTGGTCAGGAATATTAACTCTTATCACACACCTGACTCATGCATCTTTAAAAGGTTAGTCTGTCCTTGTTTCAGTTGTTGAGAACTTAGATACAGCTAGGAAAGAATAAAGTGACAACTGACAAAATCATATTAGTAATTAAAAACACTGCATATGTATGTGATATAAATGGCAAAGACCTAGTGCAGAATCCACATGAAGGCCAAAGAAAAAAAAGAAACTCAAAAATGAGGACATGACTGTTTTTTAGGGCACAGCAGTGCTGCTCTACAGGAAGAGCCAGAGAAGGCAGACACCGTGTGTGTGTGTGTGTGTGTGTGTGTGTGTGTGTGTGTGTGTGTGTACCACTGCTCACCTATGCTTTCAAACAGCAGCGTTCTAGAACCACAGACAGACTTGACTACAAAAAAGGTGAGATTTGGGAGATCTCAGTGGTTGAGTGCTTGCCTACTGGGCACCAGATCCTGGTGACCCAGAACTGAAAAGGGACAAAAAAAAAAAAAAAAAAAAAAAAAAAAAAAAAAAAAAGAAAAAAGAAAAAAGGGTAAAGCAGGGGAATTATGTTAAAATTAATTTGTATGTAAGTATTATCATCTTAGACTTATTTGGTGACCAGCTTTTCCATTACTGCTTAACAATTTTAATAAAGGTGATTTCTGCAAAGAAAAGTACTCTGCTTAAAAGTCAGGCCAACTCTCACTAAAACAATAGTACCACAATAAAGCTGTCTTTCCTCTGGTTAGAGAAATGCTACAGTTTTATAGTCAACTCCAAATATATCAAAGAAAGGAGAAACTTACTTAATTCACAAAAAGAAAAGCATGCATTCTCTCTCTTAGGTGGATCCCAGAGGCAGCAGTCAGGAAGATAAAAAGGTCCCACCCAGCCTTGATGCAGACACCCAGGGCCATTCTGAGTTCTGTGCTTCGTTCTGAATACACTTTCCATTTAGTAGTGTCCATATGGTCACAGCCCAAAAAAAGGAGGGCCAGGGAGGACAGCAGGCCGCTGACAAAGGAGCACATACTCTCAGAGTTCCCAGAGGGGAAGGAAGACAGGGTCATTATTTTAAAATGAAAATTATATGGGAAAAGCAACTGAGTAAGGTGAATTAAAAAAAAAGAAAGAAAGAAAGAAAAAAAAAAGGTGGCTGGCAAGTCCTTGAAGTCAATGAAAGAGGCCACTAGGAAGATCACTTTCTTTGGTTTCAAGCCAGTTCTTTTCCTGGTAAAGAGCAAGTCCTCAATGCCTGAGGCAATTATACTGGGCTTCAGGTTGAACAGTTTAGTTAAGGCTGTATTAAGTGTACACTCTTAAAACCAAAAATAGTCTAATACCTACTTTAGATCAACAATGTGGTCAAAAATCTCTATTTGTTGTTTGACACTCACATGCTTCCACCTCTAAACCAGGCTATTTTCCCACCTTACAGCCAAATTCTTAACAAAATAAGTGTGAACTATACAAACAAAGGGACAGAAATCCACTGTAAGGGGATAACAAGCATTAGTAGCTTTACTGCTTACAGTTAACATTTTACTTTAAAGATACTTACCCAGTTAAGCGCTGGAGAAAGTTCTGTACAGACATATTAACTTTTTGGTTTTAACCGAAAGCTCGAAGCTTAAAGTATTAATTACCTCTTTAATAATTAATACATAATTGTTATAGTCAGAATTACACACGTTTAGTGCTGATACATTTTGTAAGGGAAGGAGCCCTAACAAGAACCTTAGAGCACTATGTGCATCTGTTCTAGCCCAGACTGAGCAGGAGGTACATGACCAATCACTAGTGCATGGGGAATCCAGAGCAGGGAACTGAAGAGAGAGAAGTATTAACTCATTTACTATCTTAACTTTTGTTTAAATTATACTCTTGGGAGATGTAATCATGGCCAAGAGTTATTTTCAAAGTTAGGCAGATATGACCAAATGAAAAATAATTTTAAAATCATTAATTAATGGAAAATAATTTCCAATTATGTCAGTTCCAACGCAAAACCTGTGAGAGGAGAGCACAGCAGCTGACAAGCTGTTACCACATTCATGCTTAATATAAACTCTGTGTGTGACCTTCGAGTGACTGCATCTTGAAGCTTGCTCATCTGGGTGTAACTCGGGGGAAGCGAGTTCCAGTAAATACCCAACTCACTACTCAAGGACTGGAGCCTTGTTAAAATTTATTTCAAAGAGAGAACAAGCAAACTGAATAACCAAAACACCCACTGTTCTGTTCAAAGTATGCCACACTGAGGCTGCATTTTAAAAAGCTGAGTTGTTCCAAGAGAATTCATAACAAAGAATTTTACTTTCTCCTGGCACCTCCTTTCCTTTAAAGTAAGGTAGTACCGGCAGAACCTCAGGCTCCTTGAGGAGCCCCATTCTTTTGGTTTCTGTCCTCTATCCTGCCATACTTCCCTCCAACCTCTCTTGCTTCCTGGTACCCTCCTGATTTCTGCATCCCAAGGATAAACTCTGGTCACGCAGCAGCCTCTTTTTGGAGAAAATCTAACCCAAGGAAGGTAAGTGGTATACATCTGTGCAGGCACGGAAAACTGCTCATCTTTCTGAACGCCCGCTGTTGAAACTGAGCACACAATAGTGAAATGGAGCTTACCTTAGAGCCACGCTCATTAAAGATTATTTCTACATCTAGGATTTTGCCAAACTGCTGCAGAGACAAAAATAAAAACATTTACTTATGATCAGCCTCTTATACAGACACTTTCCTCTCTTCTGAAAAGGAAAGCTTTTCTTCTTTAAACTAGTGTGTATTTAACTCATAATTTCCTATGTGTCAGATCCCAATATGAGTTCCTGAATGGTCCCCATCACTGAGCTGGTAGCTTCTCCACTGTAAAGTCTTTCTCCAACCATTCACTCAAATGCCACCAACCTCCATGTGTGGAAGCCACAGCCCTGAGACACTCACAGTGTTTCCACTTATGAACTCCTTCACATAGACAAGGCCTGGGCATTTTTCTAACCACTGCCTGAATTTTTTAAATGTCTCACTTTAAAAAAGTTAAGTTCCAGCAAGTTGAATTGATATATTGTTGAAGGCTGTCTCCCCTTACTCTCCCAAAATTAGAAAATACAATAAAAAGAAAACAGAAAATAAAGTCTACCCACTAGCACACCATTCTAACACTTGGCAGACAGCCTTCCAAGCTTTCCCTCAGGCAGTTGTTAGTCACCTTGTGGGTGTTGGGAATTGAACCTGGGCCCCCCTGCCCCCAGCTCTTTAAAGCCCAAATCCACATTCTTTCCATATTAATGGGCCACTCCTCAATCTGTTCTATCTACACTGAGTGTTCTGAGACACTGCAGTGGTCAAGAGCAGCTCTAATGCATTCCCAAACAAGAGAAATGGAGGAGGGCAACGAGGAGAGGTAGAAGATGAGCTAGGCTTCTATGAAAGTCAAGGGATAAAAAAGCATGCCACGGCAGGAGTACCGTATAGGATCTCTTGGGGATCTTTTACATTGGTTAGGCCCAAACTGCACCATTGGCCAAGGAAATTCCACTGTGAGTGTGATACACAGACATTAGTACTTTTTAGGTTCCTCGGGTGGTTTCTATTGTGCTGACAGGTTTAGGAATTATGCTATTAAAGATGTAGGTGTTTGATTTTTCTGTTCTCGGAGGTTGCTGTGTGGCTATCCTCAGCCTGGTTGGGACACTGCACATCTATCTCATAAGAGTCCCTGGATCCTAGTCAACTGTTGCATAGCTACCTACCTTGTCCATCGTGACAGCCTACAAAGATAATTATCTAGTGTAGTCTGGGTGATATAGAAAGGTTTTCAGACTGAAGACAGTTCTGATTTACTTAAGGAACTTACTCAATTTCCTAGTAGTTTTACCTGAAGGTCCTAATGACTATGAATATTGCTGTGGATTAAATTCTATTCCATTATTATTATTATTATTATTTAAGGCACGGTCTCCTTGTAGCCCCAGCTGGCCTGGAACTTGCCAGGCTGGCCTCAAATTCACAGAGATCCACCTGCTTCTGCTGCCCAAGTGCTGGAATTAAAGGCGTGTGTGACCATGCCCAGCCTAAATTCTATTTTAATTAAATCCATAAAAACACTTCAGAGACTTACCCCAAACATCTGCCGGAGGTCAGGGTCCCGGAAGCGGAAAGGAATATTAGAGACATGTAGTCGCTTAGGGGTAGATTTACTCTCTGAATTTTCACTACTTTGTGTCTGTGACTGCTGGCCGTCTGTCTGTGCTCCACCATCTGTCTGCTAGAGAAGGAAGTAAACACAAGGAATAAGAAATAAGCTTAATTATGTCATAAAAATTATGTAAAATAAAGCTATACCCAACTGTAATCATTGTCAAACAGTGTATGTAAGAAAAACTATAATCGTCTTTTCAAAAGTGGAAAAGCCTAACATGTTACCTATGTTTAAAATGCTCTAGTCTTGGGCTGAAGAGAGGGCTCAGCCCTTAAGAGCACTGGGTTCAGTTCTCAGCACCCACATGGTGGTAACAACTATCTGTAACTCCAGTTCCAAGGGATCTGATGCCCTCTTCTGACCTCCATGGTCACTGAGTGACATGGATGCACGTACATACATGCAGGCAATATGGTCACACACACAAAATAAATAGCTCAGGGCTGGAGAGATGGCTCAGCGGTTAAGAGCATTGAGTGCTGTTGCAGAGGACCCAGGTTTGCTTCCCAGCACCCACAAACCATCCTGAACTCCAGTTCCAGGGGAATCCGAAGCCTTCCTCTGACCTGCACAGTACTGCCCGACATAGGTGCTCTCACATACATGCAGGCAATACACTTGTACACATAAAACAAAAAGCTCTACTCTACAAGCAAAAACTTAGGTCTTCTGATTACAGCACAAGAGCAAAATACGAGAGCCGTTACAGAAACCCTGAGTAGCCGGCTTGCTGAGACTACATGGAGATGTATGAGGCTAACTGAAGATGTAAAAAGAGGACTTTTCTTCTTAGATTTTCTATTTTTGAGACCACTCTATTTTGAAAACAAAGGCTCTCTTGTAGTCAGTTGCAGAGGCTACTGCCTCATCCGTGCTAGCATTCTTAGTTTCCAAGGACATGAAGTAAGGCAGTATTTCTATACTTCATTCCCTTTCCTGGTTTCAGAGCATATTGTAAAGATGCTGATTATGAAGGGGAACCTAGTGATGACAGTTCATTTGCCTGAAAAATCAAGGCAGTTTCTTAGCCTGAAGTTCATCCTATTCTTACCTCTCCTTGCTCTGTTCCTGGGGGACCCTCCTCCTATGCCCTGAATGCAGATACAGTTCCAGCCTAAGGCTTCATCTCCTGCAGCACTCTCTCGGAATGCTGCATGGCTTTATGAAACAAAGTTAAATGGTCCTGGTTGGGCTAAATTCCTTGGACTGAGGGGTGCTCTTCAGTCAAGGTTTCCAAGTGAATCCTTTTCACAGGTCTTCTTACAGTATTTGGTGCAAGGGAACTGGTTCTGAAAACTGTGTATTCAATACTAACCCCACCAAGAAATAGTGGGTATTTGTACTAACTTAAAAGGTAGAACAGTATATGATTTACCATGCAACCTGTACAGTTCTGAAAGTAGGCAATGTTCTTGGTTGTTCTTAAGAGTGTGTTTTACTGTGTTCCCAGCTTAGTCTCAAACTCCATGGCTCAGACAATCCTCTTGCCTCAGCCTCCAAAGTAGTTGCAACCACTGTGGCTGAAATTAGGCAATTATTAACAAAGTTTTCCTTTGGGCAGATTCACAATGATTCAAAAATGAAACTTCATTAATTTTTTAATATCACATTTCAAATCTCAGTGGTCCAAATTTGAGCAAGACTGTGATGTATTTAAACTTACTAATATTGTGTGTGCACACACATGTGTGCACAATGTGTGTGTACGTTCATGTGTGTCATTGTACATGTGTGGCTGTCAGAGGACCCCCACTGTGGCATCAGTTCTCTGTTTTAGAAGTGTTTCCAATAAAGCACATTATGGGTTAAAGCCAGATTAGAGTATATGCATTCCTTCTCAAAGAATAACACATGTAACAAATTATTCTTCGAAGTAATGAAACTTGGTCTATACTCTTTTCTTAGTAAAACCAGCATTTCCCAGATCTAAAAATCATCACTAAGAACACTCACATTAAATGTAAAATTACATTACTATCACCAATGCAACTTTCCAAATACGGAAAAGCAAATGCACATCTATTTAGAGCAATTCCTAATTTAATGAAAATTTCTTTCAGAGTTATTTTTAAGAGAATACACAGACATTTCTTCAGTATATTTTAAAAAATATTTTATTATTTTTATTTTATGTGTATTGAGTGTATTGCCCGCATGTTGTGCAATGCTCACGGAGGTCAGAAGAAGGTATGAGATCTCCTGGGACTGGAGTTACAGACACTTATTAGCCACCATATGGGTGTTGAGAACCGAACCTGGGTCCCTACAAGAGTAGCCAGTTCCCTTAACTACTGAGCCATCTCTCTAACCCCTTAATATTTAATTTTTTAATTAAAAAATGTTTAAGGTAGGGTCTCGCTATGCAGCCCCGGCTGGTCTAGAACTCACAGAATCCTGAGTGCAGGGATTAAAGGTATGCGCCATCACGCCCAGTCATCCCTTAATTTTTAAGAACTTAATACAGAAATCTATTCTTTGAGCTTTGCTTTCCATGGAAAGCTGCAGGAGGTGGCAGTATGAAAACATTAAGTGAAAAATCCCAGAAACATGTTGAGCAGTACTATGAATCCTCATGCCACGGATGCCACCTCAATCCATCCCATACAGACCCGAGTTAGACCTTTGACTCGTGTATCCAACATACCACTCCACACTTGCACCTTACCATTTATTATTTAGTGGCTATCTTGGTTATCTCATCAACTGTCCTGGTAATGGTGGGAGTTAAATTTAAGTAATGCTTATTTTTCCATATGGTTGCAAAGCATAAGAGTAGCTATGCTTGTAATCTGGATGTACTAAAAAGAAACTATAAAGTGGTTCCTTCACATGAAAAGGAGAGAATTTGTTTTTTTTTTTTAAAATGCTGAGTTTTGCTAAGACCTATGGAAAAACAAAACAAAATAAAACCACAAAATCTATCCGTGAAACTGTAAGAAGATAAATGGAAGGCCACAGTGTACAGTGCGTATGTAAGAGGGAAGGTACTATTTCAGTTGAAGGCACAAGAAGAAAACATGCCTTAACTGGCAGCAGCATGTCCTACTAGAGAAGGCTTCAGCAAGGTAGTCTCCTGAAGCCACAGGCATGAACTCAGTTACTGCAAGGAGGAGAAGACTGCACAGATTCAGGAATAGTTTCCCAATGAAAAATACAAAATAATTGGACAGGCTGTGCCTATCAATGAAGAACTGCTGCCACGCTCCTGGAAGAGCAGACGAGGACGAGGAAGTAGAAAGAACACCGCTCAAATCAAGTCTTCAGCTGGGATGATCTGAAGCTCTTCTGGAAGAAGATGCTCAACTGAACTAAACTCAACCATGAGGTGCTGAAATCATGTCGAGATCAGCTCTGGGATCATGCTGGTGTAGGAAATATGATAAAGGCAGGCATAGTGTGAAGAGCAAAAGAAAAATTTTGAGAAGTAAAGATGACATTCATACAATTTTATTACAGCATTTTGTTCTAATTATTCTATTTTATTACCTGTTAATCTCTTAGTGTGTCTAATTCATAAGTTAAATTTTATATAGATCTGTATGTGGAAAAGAAAACAGTGTGTCTAGGGCTTGACACTTATCTGTGGATTCCAGCATTCACCAGGGGTCTTACATGGTGTCTGATGAGTGGGGATAGCACTAGTGTATCTAACTGGTTCTCTATTATTCTAATGTATGTTTTAGAATGAGGAACTGTGTCAGTAAGCTCAAGCTGGAGCTCTTAGGTTTCTTATTTAAATTTTTTATTAATTTTCATTTTATGTATATGCTTGAGTGTTTTGCCTACATGTAGGTGCAGAGGCGAGAACAAGGTGTTGAATTCTCTGGAACTAGAATTATGGATGGTTGTTAGCTGCCATGTGGATGCTGGGAACCTAACGTGGGTCCTCTGCAAGAGTAGCCAGTTCTCTTAACAGCTGAGCCATCTCTCCAGCCCCTGGAGCTCGTAGGTCTAAAACTGAGGAGCAAGCAGCAGCAGCTGAGATGGTAAGAACAGACTTCCTGAGGCCTGGCTCTGCAGGTAGTTAACAGAAACACTGGTGAACTCAGCACAAAGGGAAGGTACATGAGGATTTTGATAATCTGTTCAGCTTTAAACTTCACCGTTTCTCATTAGACTTTATAGACTTCAAAAGAGAGTACAAAATACTTACAGAAAATGTACCACTCTTGTAGACAAGTTAAAACACAGTCCCTGATGGAGGCTTGACAGGTGGTCTAGTGGGTAAAAGTATACTGTTCTTACAGAGGTCCTGAGTTTGGTTCCCAGCACCCACATCAGGCAGTTCACAACCACATATAACCCCAGCTCTAGGGGATCTGATCTCTGGCCTTAGGAGGCACCTGCACTCAAGAGGTATGCAGGCACGCACACACACAATTAAAAATAAAGAAAATAAATCTTAAAAAACACACCAGTCCCTGAATCATCCTTCCATGCAACGTGAGAGAAATAGGGTTGATAGATCATGACATTATTGTTCCTAGTAACATTTTACTTTGGTCTCTTTTGAGTGATGGGGCAGGCAAAGGAATAAATGATGACATACAAATCAGGAGGAGCAATAGTTATTTTCAAAACTGGAAATGGATACCTTAGGGATCCAGCTTGCAACTGTCAAGCTACTCACAGGCATCAATACTCCGAAGGTGAAAAATACAAATGATTATTTTTAAGGGTAAACTGATAAAGGATGTGTAAGTAGGCTCACTGTAGGAACATGCTAATGGCCGCTATGCTGCAGGCTGAGGAAAAGGATGCAGCAACACAACATGATGAAGAACTGCAGTCTTGTGACCCACTGTAAGTGCAATGCTTTGGCTACACACACACACACACACACACACACACACACGCACACACGCATGCATGCACCCACGCACGCACGCACACACAGAGACAGAGACAAGGTACCACAAAGTATTACCAGATAAAGGGTGAAACCAAACATTAATAAGTTAATAATATATGAGCAAATGGCTTCAATTCTAGAGAAAGGGTACATGGTAAAGTAAAGGAGTTCTGAGGCTGGAGGAAGTCTGATGTACTTTAGTTAGAAGCAC